GCCGCCACGCACGGGTGCTGCAACACCTTCACAACCACACATTTATTATTCTAAAACATTCAATACAACTTTAATCCTAAACTAGCCGTTGCTCGCGACTTCGTCAAAGCAAAATTACAAAATGTAATATATATATATTACATTATATTATATATTTTATGGTACTCATTGTTAACATAACTTTTGAATAATGAAAAAAATAGAAAACGGCCAAGTGGTTTTTGAGTTGTTACATAAACAAAATACAAATATTTACTCCTTAAAATATTAGTAAGTATAGACTAGCTATTCCCGTGCGGCTTCATCCGCATTGATATATTAAAAACTGTAATTTATTGTTGACATTGCTTATGTGACAACGAAGATCTTTGCTATTGGTTAACATTTACCGTTATCATGGCAATCTTACTTTGCTGTTGCCCTTTCCCGCGAGATATTTTGTTCCAATTTTTTCATCCTCTTAATTAAATAAGTTTAGAGCTTCTTATAAAAAATGCTGTGATTACTGACATCCTACACACTTTATTACAAAATGAACTAAATATAATAGGAGACATACCATAAATATAGTATCGATCATGTTGAGCGAGGTGTCGGCGAGCAGGTTGTGCACGGAGGTGCCGAGCTGCTGCGCCAGCTCGCCCGCCTCCGACAGTGCGCACACCAGCAGGTGCTGGCTGAACAGCGTCTCCTGGAATACAGTGGTTAAAGTTTCTTTAAATATTATCGAAAACTTAATTAAAAACTACTTAATTGGTCTGAATTAGTACAATTTTTTCCGGGACATTAATTAGTTCCTGAAAATAATCTTACTGATATTTTAAATGCGAAAGGATGGATGGATGTTTGTTACTACGTATTTAAGAGGTCTATGTGACAGAGATGTAAAAAATAGGCTGGTAGAACACATAGGCTGCTAATAAAGTTTTTTCCATCCATTTCAATTTGATTCCAGTAGTTTTTTTTTATTAGTGACACATAAAAATACCAATCTTTCTTTATGTTAGTATAGATATAGTCATACTATTATAATAAATATGAAAGTTTAGATGGATGGATGTTTGTTAGAGTTTGTAGCCTAAACGGCTGAACAGATCTCGATGAAATTTGGCATAGATGTAGTGGATAGTCTGGAAGAACACATAGACAACACACATTTTTTTTATTCCACGTGAACGGAAGGCAAGTAGTTAAAAAATGATACCTGATTACAATCCTTAGCATTCTCCGGGTTGAAGTCAATGCTGTTCATCTGCTTGGCAACAATCTGTATGATCTCTTTGCATGCTGAAGCCTGTGCCTTCTCTCCTAGCATCTTACCCAGCGTATTACGAAGTATGTAGTTTATGCACTTCCTGATATGAAAAGAAAAAAAATGACTTAAAAATACCTTTCTTCTTACAAATATTACAGCCAAAATACGTAAGTTAAACTGTCGATAAGTAGTTACAGGAAATAATATTACGAATACTGTAATTGCAAACTTTTACATGGGTGGATGGATGGATGTTTGTATTACATATGCCCACAACGGGTTAATGGATCTCGCTGACATTTAGCACAGATGTTAAACATAGTCTAGAAGAATATAGACTACTTTTTTATTATGAAGCGGACGCACTGCGACAGTTTTTAAGTGATATTTTTAATACTCTTTTTATATGAATATACATGATGTTTTACATACCTTGAATAAACAGCATCGACATGTGAACTAGCGGCTTTAGGATTGGCCACCAAGTCTAACACGTGCGTAAGGAATGTAGTCATGTTACGTTCCAACCAAACTCCGCCCATATTCTGCACGAAGATTACATATGCCTGAAAAAAATTGTTATCAAGAATCAAAATTCAGATTATAGAATCAAATATATTGGGAAACATGATACATAAAAATCCATAAAAAAACCCAAATGATAATACTTAATATTGTATCAGTATAATGAAGCGTAAACACACACTACTTTGTAGTGGATGACAGCAATCACACCAAATTTTTGAATAATAATTTTTTTAATAAAAAAAACGTATGATGACGACTCACTTTAGGCCATATTTGCACGCTATTAAACCTAGGAAGTGGCTGAATTTAAAAAAAAAATTGCGAAAAAGGGACAAAGCTACAAGGCACACAAGGAGCAAGGTTGCCATGGTTACTTAAATTCTCAGCTAATAGCAAAGGCCGTCGTTGAAAAATATTTTCTACCCTGAGTAATACTCACATGTGTAACACAAACTCGCACTTCTCTGTTTACTCCGGAACCAGACTTGATGATATCACCTTTAAGGAAGGATGTGCCGCCTCGCAGGAACGCACCCATTAGTAGGTTCAGAGCTTCCTCCAGCGATACCACATTCTTCTGTGGATCCTTCTTGCTTTGTTGAACTGAAGCGATGAAAAAATATAAAATTTAATGAAATCCCAGCCATTACTCATGATTTAAAAAAAATGTAATGTGTAATAATTATTTTTCATTTTTAAGATATCAATACTATAATTATAATTAATTCTTTTACCAAGATCTAAATTACCAAAAAACTAGATTTGAAATATTTGAAACTAGCTTTCGCCCGCGACTCCATTCGCGAGATATTAAAAAAAAATAACAAAAGTGTTTAGCCTATGTGTTCTTCCAGACTATCCTCGACATCTATACCAAAATTCTTCAAAATCCGTTCAGCTGTTTAGGCTACAAACTCTAACAAAGAATCATTCGCATTTATAATATTAGTATGATGTCAAAAGTGACTGACCTGACTGAATCCCCATCTTCATCTTAGTATTGGTGCTTGAGACTTCTCCGGCTTGAGTTGTGGCTATCAGTGCACCAAGAAGTTCTGCTACTGCACACCTGATGAAACAGATATTGTACCATTTACATTGTTTTCTAAATAACATATCGATTTATTTATTCTACAAAATAGTTAACAATATAAAATAGTTGAAAATAGATACAAAGTATTAACAATAACAGTTCCATACATATAATAAAATTGTAGTTTCTATTTGTAAAATCAAAAGAAATTTCCAGATTTCGGAAAGATTTTAGTTGCGTTGCCGATAACGGAAATTAAAAAAAAATTGTCTGTCTGTCTGTCGGACAACGGCTGCGCCGATTTCGATAGGGCTTTCACTGGAGGGTAGCTGATGTAGATAGGCTTCTTTTTTTTTAATTCCGCGCTGTAAAAATAGCGTAACGGGTGGTCCAAGTTTGCGGGTGATAGCTTGTGTTTTAAATAAAAATATCAAGAGCAAAGCTATGTGGGCTTAACTTTTCGTTAAATACTTTAACAACTTACCTTAGTGCATAATCACTAGGATGTGCTGCACGGAGGCAGGCGGCTGCGATCGCATCAACATCAGCTGGGGCGAGCCTCATGAGCGGCAGCACGCGGCGCAGCGCGCTGGCCGCCGCCGCACGCACCGCGTACGCGCGCTCGCTGAGCAGCGCGCCGCGCGCCGCACGCGACACCTCGCGCAGCGCCGCGCCCGCCGCCGTGCCCATGCCTAAGCATATCTAGAAAGGATATAACATAGATTTACCCTTGAGATCCAGACACTTGAGAACTATTTTATTTTTATATAACATAAGGTGGCAAACGAGCAAGCGGCCACCGGAATCCGCCAAAATGATGAAGCGACTGCTGCCCATAGACATCAGCAATAGCAGATGCGTTGCCTACCCTTGTCCCTCAGAGGAGGAGACACACATAAAGAGGATATTTCCCCCTTGCTATGCTTCTTCTCCACCGTCAAATCACTTCCCCTTCCCATCCTCTATCTTATAAGAAAAGGGTGGTAAAGAGTAAGGGACTTAAATTAAGCCTCCGGCACCACACTCATCAGACGAAATACAGAATAGCTTCCATTTCTTGCCTGCCTTCTGTGTGGTCGTGGTATTACACCGGGCCTGCCGGCCCTGCAGTGCTAAGATGTTAAAGCGGGCACTATCATTGTTAAGTTAAGTTAACTATATAGACTAGACATGAACAATTTTTTCACCAGTAATTTCTTTTAAGATGCAATGTTTGTTGTAAGTATGCCACCTCATGTATAAACATGTTATAAAACATTTTACAAAATTATAATAAGCTCCATCTTTTGTTATAAAATAAACTAAACAGTTACAAAATAAACATTTAAATATGATTTAGTGACACCTATTGGCAATTCAATTAATTAGGATTAATTATATTGAGAAGGGGAAGTCAGCAACATGGCATGGCATGGCATGGTATAGGGTATACAACCAAAACCATAAATTACGATTCTTAAAATGCAGGACACTTGTTTTAAACAATATATGCAATTAAATGAATAATAAAAAATTACCTTCTCCAAAGTTATCATAATTTCCAATCTTGTCTGGGACTCTGAACTTTTGAGTGATCTCACTAGGGTTGTTACTGTCTCTTCATAAGATCTACCCATCATCCTGCCTAGTTTTTCATACATACTTCCCAGACAACAAATAGCAGCTCTGAAAACCAAAATTACATAATTAGTTTATTCACTGCAGCCATCGGAGATGTTTAATGTCCACGTACGGAGATCTTTAGTACATATTGTATATAACAGGGGTAGCCAACTCATTGATTATACTATTAGTTTTAGCAAGTTAAAAAAACATAAAAATGTAGACTAAATAATTGAATACCGCACTATGTTGTTTCATTTAAGAATTCAAAATGTGTGTACTTTGTAGATCACACAGTAAGTTGTAAGTAAACAACAAGTAAATCTTGGGTCTAAACAAGGCAGCAACTCCTCGCATATTTTATATTTACTTAATTTACACTAAGGAAGACACTTAACATGTTTAGTAAACAATTACAACTTATAACAACAATCTTACTAATCTTACGAATACTTTAAATACGAAAGTCGTAGATGGATGGATGTTTATTAGAATTTGTAGCCTAAAAGGCTAAAAGGATCTCGATGACATTTGGCCTGGATGTAGTAGATAGTCTGTATCATATTGGCTACTTACTTTTGTTTTATTAAATCAGAATGTTAACAAAAACCATAACTATAGTACTCACAGTCTTGTTGGTAAGTATGAAGGAGAATCATCTTTTACTTTGATGATATCATTGCATTTGTTGACAGTATCAAACAGTAGGAATGTATCCCCAACTGAGAACAATGTTGCCAGACATCTAGCCAGGAGTCTGCGTGCAGGCGCACCTAATGATTCTCGAAGTAAATTAACCAATTGAGCTACAAGTTTTTGTTGGCAGCTTTTTATGTCAGACTGTAAAGATAAAAATATTTTATAAATAAAAACTACTAAAGTAATGAAATCTCCAAAAACATAGTAATTTACAGAGAGAATGTGAGGGTTGACAACATTTTTGTACTGAAACAATAATTATTTTTTTCTATCTTTTGAATTACCAATTTTTTTTTCTGTAAATTAATTAGTTACAGATGATAAATCAATATGATCTCATAGTAGCAAAGCAATAAGAAAAAGCATGGGACCACAAAATACTGTTGCAAACATACCTTATGAGCTGCAACAAGAACTTTATCCAGGAAACGCAGCCATTCAAAAATGAAATGTGGCTTTTTGTCATCAGGTAGCTGCTGTAGAGCAGACTCATTTAATGTCAATGAATGTGACACCTCCATGATGCTGAAAAACCCAGGAAAGTTAAGACACAGTGTCATCAAGTTCTAAGATTTTCATTTGGGTCAGGGTCCCCTTGGGTTTTAAAAATCATCCTTAACTGTGTTTTTTATACCTTCGGTATTAAAGGGTACAATAAATAGTAGACCTGACATTATTGATGCATAGATATTTTAAGGACATTTTTTAACGAGGGTAACAGATGCTTTAGTTTAATATTAGTAGCGCTCGCATGACATATGGTTATTGATTTTCTGGATTTATAACGATGATCTTATTCATTTAATAGCAAAACAATGGCGTCATACATATAGTGAATCAACTCTCGTTTAAGACTATTAAAACATTAAAAGACGAGAAAAATGAACCTGACCTGTAAAGAAATCATTACCTACTAAGTAAAATATAGATTTATACTACAAACCAACAGATTTCTTTTCCACCGTGTATTTCACGTATGATTATTCATTTCCCATACAAGTGACCTAAATGGTAAGCACAAGATATAAACCAAATTGATTAAAATAACAAATCAAATATGCAATAATATTTGTCCAAATTGTTAGGCCAAATTAAATGCAAATAGAAAATGTAACGTAAACTTTACAAGTACAATTTATTTTTATAATTGATTTGATTGACCACAATTGATTGACAATTGACGTTTGATTTGACACCTCAGAGAAGTTGCCCACTTTGCACTAATTTTCTTATTACCTTTTTATGGAAATAGTTTGAGATGGTTTGATGGAAGGGAAATATCGTTCGAGAGCAGACGGATGTAGACACTTCCTCCGTATAAACAATTTTAATTATTAGTGTGATATTCGCAGCACCGTTCATCTCATCAATTACTGACTTTTGCCCGGTACACACTTGACCAGTACAATGGAAAAGTTACGACGGCTAGTCATAGATTGTATGGAATAACTGGTGCCTGTAAGCGTTCACACTGTGCCAGTTGAATAACAGTACAGTTATAGCTACTGGCCAAGAGTGAACTGTGCATAAAAAGAATTAATTTTATTCTCAACTATGTTTTACATCTGTAGCATTGGCAGATATCACCGAGTTCCGTTAGGCCGTTTAGGAGGTATATCGTATTATATCTTATATCTTTTGCCGCGACATGTTCAGCGCATTATTAAAAAAAAACGTAGTTACTAAGTATTAAAACTCTCAAAAGATATTTAATTTCCCACAAACCCTATCAAACGATTGGCATAAAAAAAGTTCAATCAAAGTGATGTGTAAAGTTGGTCCATAAAACGCATTTTTAGTATCTTTGATTGTATAACAATAAAAAATAATTTAACTGCCAAATCAACTTCAAAAATTTATTTGAAACATGGCGAACGCTGATGATGATGAGGTATAGAAATTATTTTAAGCAAAAGTATTTGTTACTTGAATAATAAATCATTCTTCATCGTTAATAATCTTTTACTATAATAATTTATTAATATATTTTAGAATGTTGTGTTTAATGTAGAAGAAGTCCAGAAAATTGTTAGAGACAACATTGAACTTTGCCTTGGAGGCAATACTTACAGTCATTCACGCACACCGCAATGGATTTCTATAATTACCGAAAAAACTCTATCAAGACTGAACAAATTAAATAAGCCGTTCAAATACATATGTAAGAATATTCTATAAATAACTGCAGCTCGATCTTTTCTACTAATTAATCAGTATTCTTTAGTAGTCATCATCCACTTTAATCAGTTATTATTTTTCATTAGTCATTCATTCTTATTCAGCCTGATCTTCTTTACCGACTAGTAATTTAGATTATTACACAGTCTTCTAAACTAGTCGGTCATTCTTCTTAACTTATCGGACATTTTTCTTAACTAGTCGGTCATTCTTCTTAACTTGTCGGTCATTTTTTCTTACTACTAGTCGGTCATTTTTCCTTACTAGTCGGTCATTTTTATTAACAAGTCGGTCATTCTTCTTAACTATTCGGTCATTCTTCTCTAGTCGACCATTCCTCCTCACTTTAGCAACTGCTGATACTAGAATTATTTATAGTGAGAATAACGATAACTCAAAGAAACGGAGCTGGCCTCCATACCGCTGCCGCTTATTTCTGGGACACAGCGACCGATGCGACCTGTACCGTTCGTTGGGAAAATAAATACATGTACTGTATTGTTAACGTTTTCGGCTTGGCGTTACAACTATAAACACGTTTAAAAATACTGGCATATTTTTCAACCATTCTATTGATCAAGTTACAATTATTCAAGCTAAATAAAATATAGCCGGGTTTTCAGAATTAGCATGTATTACCTTAATTATCTGAAATATCATGAGAAATGATTTGAAATGGAACAAGATGTATACGTTGTTTTAGTGTTTTGAAATAAAACAAGCAATAAAGCACATTTTAGTATTTTTATTTTTGGTAAAATTTACCACAATACAAAATAATGATAGAAATAAATAAAGTAATAAATGTAGACAGGTCATAGAACTATGCATTGTAAAGTTGGTGCTTTTAAAGCAATATAATATAATTTATAATAACATTAGGCAAAATGGCATGTGTACATTAAAAATAAAAGCATTATTTTTAACACAAAATAATATCAAGAGCAGACATTTACACTTAAAAAGAAAATAATGATTCATCACTTAGTGATTTGGTCTTTTCTAATTCATTTATAAATTGTACACAAGACTAACAAATTATACATGCAGACAATTTAAAGCATGATTTCCATTACATCAAATTAATCATTGTTTTATTTGTAAAAAATATTAATTATTTAAAAACATTAAAATACTGGGCTCCGAAAAACTGAAAAATGAAATAAAACCAAGGTATAGGAAAGGCGAAATTCATGTTAATATTATTCAAATACAAAACTAAATATTTAAAAAATAGATGTTAATCATAATTTTATAGTCATTAAAATTACCTGTACTTTTAACTTTATTATCATAATATTAACTCGATGTAAGTTAATTTTTCCGACTACATTCTTGTATCAAATGTAAACAAAATAACAACCACTGTGTATATTATGTAAAGAAGAAATAATGGCTCACTGTTGTTACAATATAACTAGATTATAATGTAGAGTTAAGACTAGGTCCGTAATTATTTAAATTAATATTCATTATAAATATTTATATTTTAATGTTATTAAGACCAATCAAATTCAATGTTTGATTTTTTAATGAAAATTTGTAAAATTTTCATTAATTTCATTTAGAATTTAAACAAGTATTATGTCATTAACATTAAAATATAAATGTTTATATATAATTGATATTGATTATGTATAATGTAAAAGATTGATTTGGGAACTACTTCTATATGTATATTCTGCTATAGACCGTTTATATAAAATATTGGGAACGACATTACATTAATACTGCTATTGTAAGATGCAGTAGATAATTCAAACTAATATAAGACTATTACCATTCGGTATCACATCTACACTTATTGGCTCTCATGTGATGTAACAAAACTTTTATTATTACTGTGATGATAAACTGTGATGCTTAAAAATACTATTAAGTTTGGTTCATCAATTAACACACATATAACCAAAAAAAAACAATAAAGTAAAATGTGTTTCAAAACCCAAGCTGTGCTGAAAATACATTAAAGCTAACAAATGTGCATTTTCTCTTTAAACTATACCTGACTGGGAGCCGTTTCTGTTTTTATGAGCATTCCATCGATTTTAACATATCCCATCTCATCCCGCACACCTAATAACTTATATACAGTACATTAACGCTTATAAAATACAACTTAACACTATGACTACAATAAAACGATTTGTCGCTTAAATAAAATTATTATGACAGATAATTCCTCTTATTTACAAATTCGCTATACATTACACGTTAGAATTAATAAAAAAAATGTAACATTGTACTTGCGACTTGCCTAATCTCTTCACGAATGTACTACTTGCGTGTTAAAACTTATGTACAAGTCGAGACTTAAACAATCACAAATTATGAAATGTAAAAACATAATGAGGAACAAATGACATTGTACCATAACACTAACCCTTCCCGCCCGAGCCGGGCCCAACATATCACATCCACTTCCAGTGTAAACACTATACTTTGCCGAAACCTTAATAATCGTACGTAAAGGGGAAACTAAAATATTTACACAATGTATACATATAAAAAACTTATCACAAAATAAGGATATATTTTTAAGTATAAATCAATATAATATACATGATCCAACAATTCCAAACACTGGGTAGATTCAAAATAAAAGAGATCATAATAAGATTCATGGAAACGCATGTCCAAGTGTGGCACTGAATATGTCAAGACTAAAAAGGTGGGAAAGAGATATGTGAATTTGACTTATTGTCTTACAATACATATTTACATTTAAAAATTGTGCTCGACCCAGTATTTCTAACTGCACATTCCTCACAAAATCCATTACAAGGAGATCCATTACAACACTGTCTTCTCGGGTCTAAACCATTAATCTGTTTTTTAAAATGTTATTTCTAAATCCATTATGTACTTATTCAATTATGCTACCGAATAAAGCCTGTAATAAAGAGCTATAGCTCATACGTCGCGAAAAATAAACTAGACACACTACACAGACAATTCATTGTAATGCTATGCTAGTTTTCTGTACTTGTTTTTATTAACACTCGCCTAATTGAGGCGTTAATTGACACACACACTGTTATTTCACTTGTTTAGTTAAGGTACTTCCTGCACTTCTTGGCACCGCACGTGCACGGAATTTTGACCTCTTCGAATGGGAATTTGTAGTCGTAGGTCAACTCCTCGCCGACTGTGATGCGCCGCAGCGCGAAAATGAGAATATGCTTGTGGCCATGGATATCCACGACACGGGAATAGCAATTAGGCTGAAATTATAACATATTGTTTAAACTAACACATACTTAAGAAGAAATAATTTTCAAACTTAAATATATTAGGAAACTATTTTTCAATGACTGATGCGTATTTTGTGTGTGGGCAAGATAATCATTTTTACTTCACACAGCCACACACACACATAAGGAAAAAGAGTTCATCTGACTTGGCTTTGGCTTGCATTCTATGTTGGGCAATTTTAGTGATTGCTATGTATGTAACATGGTTGACTTGTGTGGGATTGTGTGTACTCACGTCGCACGAGTGGTTGATGAACCTCGCTGCGTTGCCCTTGAGGGTGGCATCGACGACGAGGTTGTCGTCGATGCGGAACATGTAGCAGCCGCCGACGCCGCGCCGGCCGCTCGTCGCCTCGTACCGCTTCTCGCGCTGGTCCGCCAACACCGCACGGATAACTTCGCCCGCGTACTCTATTACCATGTCACCTGTAAACAATACCAAATTTCACAATTTATAAGTGCTTAAATGTCTAGTTACATCAAGTGTTGGTAGGTATGTTTCCACAAGTTAAAATGAAAATGTCATAGAGATTTGGCTGGGTGCTGGGAAGGGCGTTTATGATCCCTATCATAAGTCACATGTATTCTAGATATATTATAAAGTGTATTAATATCTTACCTTCTTCAATATCTCGTTTGCAGAACAAGCCACGTCCGTGAATATGCGACCTGTATACACCGACCGAAGCTTTCGACGTCTCTTTGAGTTGTCTGAACCGCATCGCCGGGGGCAGTGTCGCCAGCCGTCTGTAATATAACATATTGCTAAAGATAATATGTTTTAACACATATAGCTGCCTTCTTGTATATAATTCTAATATATTATCACCGGCTTTTTTCTCATCTTCGTTAAATTCAACACATATGACAGGCATAAGTTAAAATAAAATTTACCTTGAAATCAAACTCTCGCTTTCCTGTCCTCCAAAGGGCGGTGGTTCCTCCCTGAAGGGCGAGGCCATCCAGCTGAACATATCATGGTTCTGTTTGCGGGCGACGGGGCCGGTGCGAGCGCTACCCCATGGGCTCTCTTTGAAGCCCTCGCTCAGGTCTAGATTGTTATCCCAACTGCTTAGTGGACGACCTTGGCGGATCTTGTATTTCGTACAACGACTTGCCTGTAAATATTTATCTTTATTAGTGTCTGAACTTTGTTCAATTATACTATTTGATATGCTTGTTTAAATCTAACTAATCTAGATCTTTGCATTATTCATATTCATACAATTGTAAATAATTAGGTTTAAGTATAGGAGATTGATTATACTTACTCCAGGTAACTGTTCGATCAGATATCTTAAGGCATTGTTGTTTAGTCCAAGAAGATGAGCGCCGGATAATGTGGAAGGAAGATTGTACTGTATGAGCGGCATACCGGATTGTTTTCGTGCGTTTTGCACAGCCTCAATCACTTTAGACCAGAGATCAGTTAGTGATGCGGAAGAATAACTAAATCCGTCTTCGGATGTCACTTCGTAAATTAATTTAGGCCCGTCGTCTTTGGGCGGGTCAGGTGCTTGCTTCGGCTGCGCTGTTTTGTTCTCTTGACCCTTTGTAAGTTTATTCTGTTTCTTGGTAACAGTTGTTTCGCTTTCAGTTTTCTTATCGTTTAACGGTCTCTTCATTAGTTTAGTAGGAGCATTTGTCATTTTGGATTGTAAAGATCGATTTGTATCCTTTTCGGTCAACACTTTGGGGGGTTCCACATCCATGTCTGAATCTAAACTGGGTAATGATGCCATTTGACCAACCGTTACAATAGGTTCGTTATTCCTAATATCTGACGCACTCGATGTTCCACTTGTAGTAGCTTGATTCATCTTCGTAGACACTTGTATAGCTCGTGCCGCATCTCTTTCTTCTTTTTCTCGCTTCGCTCTCTCTAATTCGAGCATCCGTTTAGATTCTTCGATAGCTTTTTCTAAATCACTGTCTATGGTCTCTTCTTTTACACTTAAATCTGGCATATCTTGGCTCACCTGAGTGGCCGGCCTATGTTTGGGAACAGATGGAGTTTTACTGGTACCGGCGGCTTTTGACGATTTACTCTGACCGTCTCTGTGCAATGGTAGAACTCTATTCATTGGTCTCATAGACATAGGATTTACAACATTGGTCGGTATTCCAGATTGTTGAGTAGGTGGCGCTTTGGGCAATGTAATACTAGTACTGTTTTGAGATGGCAAACTAATTGTACTATTTTGTTGGACAGGTATACAAATCATGTTACTATTACTACTATTCTGAGTCTGTAACAAATTGCTGTTTGATTGAAGCGGAAAACTGATATCCGCTGCAGCTTTAGAAGCAATTTTTGGGTCAACAAGGTTGTTTTGGACTGTAATATTAACAGTATTGTTGCTAGAATTTACATTAATATTCATGGGTGCACTGTTAGGTATTGCTTGGAAAGGAACATTAATCATTGTGCTATTATTTTCAGTTTTCTGTTGGAAGCCTAGACTTGGCTCAGCGGCAATACCACCTACATTGCTGTTACTATTATTTGTTACAACACGTATATTGTGTTGTTGGGGCACATGTGTATTGATATTGTTTTCAATGTTAGTATTATTCAATCTGTTCCTTTCTGGAAGATTAATAACTCTATTGTTTTGTGAATTCATCTGCATATATCCCAATTGGTTGTTAACAGATATTGCGTGATTTTGTTTGTCATTAGAGACAATATTAACCTTTGCGCAATCATTGCTTATGTTGTTATGAGGTACATTGGGATTCGGAGGAGGACCCATTATATTTTTCCCCCTGATAGGTTCTTGTTGGAATTTAGGTGTTTCATTTACATTTGGTCTATTTATTGGATTCTCCATGTTGTTTATATTTTGTGTACTGTTGTTACTACTCAAACTGCAGCTACTTATATTGATTTGAGTGTTGTTGGGAACTTGACTCCCTAAATGTTGAGTAGCAGTAGAGTGAGGCTGGGAGTTATTCATGATCATATGATTATTATTTCCCGACATCAAATTGTTAACGCTGTGGTCATTGCTGTTGTTACAGTTCATCAGCATATCATGGCCTGTTAGGTTATTCTGAGTATTAGCGCCATACATACTATTATTTGTCGAACTCATCATCATATTGTTTGAAAGATTTGAATTGTTGACATTCATACCGTGAATCATATTACCACTGCCCATGTTTAAATTATTACTGGAGTTAATATTGGAACACATTTCAAATGAGGATTGACTGTTGGTAAATTGTTGTGAATTATTAGAGCAGCTGCCGCTGCATGAATTCTGCATGTCATTTTTGATATCTGGAATGTTTGGGCCATGCATCAACGAATTTGACATTGATTGATGGTTTGAGTTTGTGATCTGCATTGAATTATTGATATTGTTATGCATATTCATATTATTGATAGAGTTCATGTTATTGATATGATGCTGCATGAGACTAGAGTGCTCCATCGAGTTCCTATTATTTTGTATTTGATTCATTGCGTTGAGATTTTGCATAGTCATGGAACCATTGTCATGTCTGTTGGTATGCATGCCTTGGAGGCTAGTTGTATTATCCATATTATTACCTAAATTCATGCTAGGCGTATTACCAGACATGTGATGCATACCCATACTATTATCCATTTGCTGTCGATTATGCATTTGATTAGTTACATGTTGATGCATATTCATCATGTTACTGTCAATATGTTGCCGATTATTTTGAATTTGCATCACATTAGACATAGGATGCTGGTGATGGTGCATATTGTCAATTTGTCTATTTTGTTGCATATTCATGTTTTGTTGATTCATATGCATGTTATTATCCATTTGTTGTCTGCTGGAACTGTTCATATGGTGACTCATTTGTTGCATCGAATGCATTTGTTGATTATGCATGTTATCCATAGGTCTGTTTGAGTGCATTTGATGGTTCATATTATTAATTGCATGTGATTGCATATTATCCATCATCATCCTATTGTTTTGCATGTTATTCATATTGGTTAATGTTTGATTCATATGTAAGTGGTTTAAGTCATTTAATTCCGATCGGTTCATGCTGTGACTGTTGGATATATTATGCATATTTATAGATTGATTCATTAAGTTATTATTATCTGGTGTGCTTCGGTTTGACAACATATTTTGATTGTGACTTTGCTGTGTTCCAATTATATTGTCATGAAAACTTCTGTTAGATGATCCTTGATTCATAGCTTGCATTTGGTTATTTTCTAGTTGCCGATTATGTTGAATTTGACCATTCATTATATGAATTTGGTTCGAGGGTGGATGTTGGTTGTTATCATGAGACATCATTGTCATGTTTCCATGATTTAAATTTGAGTTACTGAGCATTGAATTGGAAATGTCGTGTTGCTGATTAGTATGATGCATGTTACTATCGCATGACACAGAATTGTTCATTCTGTTGTTTGCAGCCTCCTGGCAAGACATATTAATGTTTTGCATAGAATTGCTCGCAGAATTTAAAATCTGAACTTGCCCATGAGAGTTATTAGATATCGAACACATTTGATTTCCATTGTTCGACACTGACATCGGATTTTGATTGTTTTGCATTTGAGGACGAATCACGTGAGGAATAATACTGATGGACGGCGAATTGCCCATATTTCCTGCAACTTGGCAACTGCTTAACTTATGAATATTCATTTGATTATTAATGCCTTCAGAATTATGCTTGTCATTGTTCCCAATATTTTGAAAAGCTTTATCGTTGTGAGAATGTTGTTGCGAATGTGAAGCCATGATTTCTTGATTGAAATTCAAGTGCCCATCTTCTGTTTTTGAAAGAGCGTTAATCTTGCTGAGTTTCATAGTAGTGTCTGCATTAAAATTACTGTTCATCACTGATGAAGGAGGATAAATATTACCAGCTGTTATCTGAATTACGTTGTTCGAAGTCGTGTGACTTGAAGAATGATGGCTTACGTTGAGGCTGGACTCAAATTGATGGGAATGTAAGTTTCCTGAAGATATTGCGTTTCCATTATTTTGTATCGACATCATACAGTTTTGATTAATCTTATCGGGTTCGTTGTGCGAAATATGACGGCCAGATAAATTATTCTGAACATTAATTCCAGAGTTGTTTGTGGTGTGATTCGATTTTAATGAAATATTTTGCAATTCTATTTTGTTGTCATTGTTATTTTGGTTTAATCTCCAAGGTGTAGGTGATTTTATACTTTGTGTAACGCTTATTGTAGGTAAGCTTGTGCAGTTGGAATTATCTTGTAAATTGCCACTTATTTCAATTACATGGGAGTTTTCGATTTTTATGTTGTTTTTATTAGAGGATGGAGCAATTGAACTTGACACTATTGGTTGAGATAACGGAATTGATTGCATGGAAAACGATGACCCCGAGTTTGGTATAGATTGAGAAATAGCCATTAATGGTTGACCCGTTGACGATACTAAAGTTACATTCGGAGACATTGTTATATTGTTTGGTTTAGACATATTGGTCTTCTGCATATTCTGTACAGAATTCGATATTGACATCCCATGTATCTGAGATGTAATCGGGTTGACGCTTTGCCGTCCAGTCATTAAGTTACCAATACCAGATTGTGAACCAACGGTTATTGGTGCAGCGCTCATTTGTATCACTTTTGGTGTTTGTCGATTATTGTTGTTCGATTGTTTATCGGGTAATGGTTGTAATGTTATATTCGGAACACTTGTCTTAACCGTCTTCAATGTTTGTGGCGTCGATTGTACTGTATGTGCCGTTACCACGTTAGGTGTAGAAGAAGCGGCTTGCGAAGATACACTTTCGCCAACATTGTTTACAACCACATAACCAGTGGGCACTTCAACTATAGGTTCTATCTTACTAGCTTGGAACACTTGAGTTGTGGTCGCCGAAAAACTACTGTTTTGAGCTAAAACACCTTGCATAGCCGTGGACACAAATTGCTGAGATGACATAACTGTATTTTGAACGATTGTTTCTAAACCGTAATAAACAGGCTGTGTTGTCGTAAGATACATACAGCCTGAGGGGTCAGTAACCATTTCCAAAGTAGGCGTGGAACCTAGTAACACTTGATCATTACAAAACTGTGGCAGCAATGTCCCTTGTGGTATTATTGTAGCTCCTGGTGTCGAAGAAATCAACGTATTGCCTTGTGATGGCAAGGCCCCATTTGGTATTATAGTAGTCTGTCCATTTCCAATACCACTTTGAGGCACGACCGTAGCTCCTGCGGTCTGTAAGGTGTTATTTGGCAGAAGCGTAGCAGTTTGCGATGTTATTGTCCCTGGCGCTAAGCCTTGAATTGTGCCTTGCGGTATAATAGTTGTACCATTTTGGGTATGTATTGCTTGAGGCAGGATTGTGTGTCCATTGGGACCTTGAGAAATAATGCCTTGAGCTTGTATTGTGCCTTGAGGAAGGATTGTAGCGCCTTGTTGTATTGTTTGTGGCAAAATACCGACATTTCCCTGAGGTAGTAACACTGGAATACCGCCGCTCGGTACGGCGACTAAGCCACCATTTTCAGTTTGCTGTATTTGAAATGTTTGTGGCATAAGTCCACCTTGTGATATAAACTGTGTCGGTGCTGTTTTAAAATCATTTTGTGGTGCTATGGTTGCAATATACTGCATATTCTGGTTCTGTTGCTGTGACAATGCCTCAACATAAGCAGACATAATATTCTGATTAGCCACGGGCTGTACTATTATTGATGGTTGTCCTGTCTGGTTGTTTGTTTGAAGTTGTATAACGGTATTGCCAGGTCCGAGTGGCGATTGGTTGATTGTGGTGAATGTTTTTTCCAATTTGGTTTGCCTCTTTATCGTAGTCGGCTTTGGCATCGGGCGTCCTCTTCCACGATTAGCAGCATGGAAAATAGGTTTCGGTTGAACATGAGGTGGTTGTTTTTTCGGTGACTTTTGGGGTGTTCCAGGAAGAATAATCTGTTGTTTTTGTGAATTAGGGGATGTTAATCTTTGGGCTGTCATCGCCGGAACAACAATAGTAGGGTTTCCTTGTATTTGTGGCCTGATCATAGGCTGAATATTCTGTATGATTGATGAGTTTGGCATGCCTTGAATAGAATTCACCGGTAGTGCTATCGACGACGCACTCGCCATGTTCGGGAAATTTGTTACTTGATTTTTGCCCTGGATAATGGGTGTAATATTTCCAGTTTGGTTCGAGGGGATTGTCAACACTTGATTTGAATTGGATGATATAACTTGGATTCCTCCTGCGCCCGATAAAAGTTGCGTCATGTCCGCGCTTCCTTGAATTTGTTGTATATTTGCATTTCCATTTCCAGGTTTAACGCAAATATTGTAAGGCAGAAGTCCTGGTTGCGTTATTATTTGGGGAGTCATCATTTTCTGTCCACCTGTTGTGCTAGTTTTAGGGGGCAATAACATTTGCGGTGTAACGACGATCTGTGGCGATGATAGCACTTGTTGGTTTGCAGATACTTGAACATTAGTAGTTTTGCTTTGATCAAATATAACGGTGCCCGACTTCATTTGCTCTGTAATCGTCATTGTCATTTCATTCGTCGGACCAGGAGAAGGTGTTTCCACAATCGTTCCATTAATTGTAATTTGCCTCGTGTTAATTGAAGTCCTTCGCGCCGATATACCTTCAGCTTTAACAGAGTTCTCAGTTCCACTAACAACTCCAGCATGTATTATCATCGGTTGAGCGAATGCACCTTGGAAAGCATTTTGTAAGGTTGTCAAAGTTCTATTTTCGGGAGATTTAGGATTTTCACTCTCACTTTCGCTAGTTGATATCATGTCACATGATGGCACATGTCTATCGTATGATTCTTTATTTCTATACGTACATTGACATCGGTCACATCTAACAAGTTGCTCGAGCTGACCGGATGCTCCTGAATTGTCGTCTAACGGCCTCATGACTAGTTCTGGTTGTCCGCTTATAGCGTTGCCGGCAATAGTGACAGTATATGTACTTTCGGTTCCACTTGCTCTATACAGGAATTGATTGGAATGATTCCTTTGCATATTATCATTGCCGGTATGATCTTCTGCCCCATCGAGTTGCTGGATGGGCGTAAAATCTTCATCCCTAGGGCTACTTGGTCGCGAACTGCAAGTACTTTCAGAGCCAGACCAATCCGCGGCACCGTCTAATTGCGATATTGGGCTACACTGTATTTTAGTATAGAAATCAATCACATCTGGGTAATATCCTTCAGATTTGTCAGTTTTATCATTAGAATTGTCGTCTTTTGGTTTAGGAGTTGTTGCTATTGCGCGATAGTTGACACCAGATGTATGTGGTGCCTCTTCACAGATGTTACTTGTATTTGCAACGTTTTCAAGTTTATTTTTCTTATCAATGTTACTGCTTCCTTCACTTTCCTTGATCGGTTCTAACGTACTCTCTGTTAACGCAACTCTTTGAACTGGACTTAGTTTTCCAGTAACCGTCGAAGATTTTCCTATTTTGCATCTTTTTATAGTTGACGATAACAAGCTCGTGTCGAATTTATTGTTCCACGTCAAACTAGTCGATCTTTGCTGGCCCCGACCGGTTGTTAGACTTTTGAGATTATGATTTTGCAAAAGCATCTCAGATTTGCTTCTCTTTAACTCCTTATTGCCTGATTCTAGTCGCGCATTTAAAAGTTCATCAATAAAGTCTGTCGAACGCGAATCACTTTTATCGTCTGATTGACTCATTGCGCCGTAAAATTCATTCTTTAGATCCATTGCAACGAGATCTTCGTATGACATAAGTTTCGGGAATATGTCTTGCATTGAAATTCCATCTAAAAGATCATGATTTAGATCTTCAAAAATAGCGTCTTTCACTTCTGGCGGCAAAAGGTCTGCCGTGTTTTGGGGCTCTTCTTCATCTTGTTGTTCTTGTTTGCACACATTGTCCAAAAGATGTTCAATAACTTGCTTTACAGCCAAATCTTCTAAAGTCACCGAATTGCCAAACTTAATTGGTGACTTATCTTTCTTCAACATAAGAACAGTTTTCGATCTTGTTTCTAGGCTTTGATGCCAAGCGCCAATTTCCGCAATCGCTCTTTCGACGATTTGGACATCCATTGTGTGATCAACAGTTATGTTTACACCAAAGTCATAACCCGGCAATGGTTCGGCAAGGATCAATTTAGTTTTTATCGTATATCTTACTATCTTTGATGGTTTTTTGCAAGACCAAAATAGACGTGAGCATGAGAAGTCTACCGGCATCAGAAATTCTTCATAATCAGACACAGATGGAACAATTTTGCCAAGACTATGTACCGTTAAAGAACCCATTAGAAACTGTACTTTACTTATCTCACTGTATCTTTTCTTTTTCTTATCTAGCTCCACATACACAGGTCTAGTTAATTCAAAGTCGGCATCTTTTTGCAAACTTTTCTTAGGGATATCTTTCCCGTGAGTGGGACAGAATACTCTCTTATCGTCCATAAAAGCACAACTGTCCTTCCTTGCGCAAGAATAATGGTATGTTTCGCTACAATTTTTGGCGCAACATCCAACACTGGCTCCTTTCACTTCACAAGAAGCACATTTGATCATTTTGCCTCTTGAAATTGCAGAATGAACATTCTGCAGAGATCCATCGATTTCTTCAAAAACTTCTGCTGACCAAAGAGCGCAATTCGCGTGAATCCAATCGTTTTGACCGCAGTATAACAAACGACCTTCCATCGCGGGTGAGCCGTCGCCTACAACTTTACACAGGACACAAGTTCGTGAATCTACTATTGGGTAAAACTCCAATAGATCCTCCTCTGCATTCATTCCTTCAGATTCTAACTTGGGCACAATCTGGTCTAGTGGCTTCTCAACCGACTGCTCTTTTGTATTCACGCCTTTATTATCCGACATCTCATGGTCTTTAAGAGATTCAGTATCATCTTGTTCACCTTCGACTTCCAAATTAGGTTGGAGGCAATTATTATCACAATCAAACCATGGGAATGTCTCGAAGAATAATTCTTTATATATCGTTTGAAGGTCATCATTGGATGTTCGTACAATTACATCTTTCATATCATGATTGAAATCTTTTAATGAGATGTATTCATCGCTATTCACTCTTCTCTTGATATCAAGTAAAGATGGGGAGATTAATCTACTGAGATCATTTTCTGACGCATCTTCGTTCAGTAAATCTGGTTGTCGTATCAACGCGGGACTGAGGTCTTGTTCGCTTCGATCTTGAGGGAAGGTATTAACGGGTTCGTCATCATCAGAGATCGCTTCATATTTATCATCATGTATTGAAGTCGGCAACATGGCCATGGCCTTTTCCGTCTTCACTTGAGGTGGATAATTATCATGCACTTCCACACAGGATGCCGTAAATTCGGTTTTATTGTTATACAGACCAGTCGAGAAGCAAATCTCTTTATTCTGCATCAGTGGTTCTTGCAGATTGACCACTTTGTGTGATGTATGGGGCATATCCTCTTTCTCCATTTCTACATCGGTAAACAACGATGAGCAGTGCCATACATTTTGCGAGGCGTTGGTATCGTCAAATTTGTTTTGCGACGGATTATTGCGCCGTCCTCTCGCCATATTTCTGTATACTTTTGTCTCTGTAGTCTTCATAGATTCATCTCCAGTATCGAAATGTAACTTACGTATCGCCTGAGGCGACATAAGACGGTAGGGTTTGTTGGGCACTGGAGTATTCTTGTGCGGTGTAAGTTTTAGCAGAGCGCACGCCTTTTTATTTTTAGCAAGTTGCTTAAGGAGGTGTAGTAGCTTGGTTTTTAGGTGTTCTGTAAGCATTTTCCTCCAAGGCGGATCGTGCGGCATACACTTGCAGCAAATGTACTCTATCGACGGCGGCAGAGCTGACAGCAGCTGGTATCCTTCTCCGGACAAACCTTCGCAACTCGCGTGCACCCATCGTGCGCACCAGCCGCACTCCATCATCTACAAAAGAGAAAACGCAATATTTAATGATACGATTACACTTAAATTTTTGTTACAATAAGACAAAAGGATGGTTTATAAAGTGGTACCTTGCTGTCAAAGTCGTTATCCCTGTAGCAGGCTTGGCAGAGCGGGCAGTAGTTGCCCTTCTGGCGCAGCTTGAAGCAGGGTCGACAGAACGGCAAGCTGCCGACGAACTTGTTGACGCGATTGCTGTCGCAGCTCTTGCATTTAAGACAGGCGCTGCATATCTGCAAGAATAAGTACACACCATTGTACAATACTGGCCTTAGCAGTACCATTATAAATATTAGTCTTAGCAGATATTTAACATTTCTTCCTTATTAACACATTTAAAGCGTCAAAGATTTCTCTATGTTCCACTTCTGTGGTAGCACGTGTAGCACACCCAGAGATAAAGCTATCATTATTATGGACTATACATTTCTTACATTGTAAGGGAGATACGTACCAGGTGTTGTATTCAACTTATAAAAAGGTCAGTGTTGTATTAAAAAGGTTGGGAAGGGATAGGGACTAAAATTAGGCATCTCGCACCGCACTCATCAGACTGTACGCGGAATTGCTTCCACTTGACGCCTGTCTTCCGCACTCGGTATAACACCGGGCGAGCCGGCCCTGCAGTGCGAAGATGTTAAAGCGGGCTCTACCACTTAATGAAGTGGTAATGATGTGTTAGTATGTAGTTACCTGAGGCCAGTCGCTGCGGTGGTCGGGCGGCGCGGGCACGAGGCAGGCGGCGTGGTGGTGGCGCGCGCAGGAGCGGCAGCGCAGACGCGCGGCGGAGCGCGAGCACGCGGCGCACGCCACGCAGCGCGCGCACGTCCACTCCCCGCCGCCCGCGCCGCGCCCCGCGTCCTCCGCGCACCAGCTGTGGTACCACTCGCAACAGCTCGAGCACACCAACATCTGCAATACACCGAATTAGGTAAACTATAATAACTATAAACCTTGGCATACTGTAGAAATTAGAAAATATTTTATCAATATATCTCCTCCACCGTCAAATCTACATTCCACGAAAAAGGCACTAAAATCGGGCCTTCGGCACCACACTCATCTGAGTGTAAGGGGAATTGCTCATACTTCACGCCAGTCTTCTGTGTGGTCGTGGGATTACACCGGGTGAGCCGGCCCTGCAGTGCGAAGATGTTAAAGCAGGCTCTACCACTGTTACTTTTGTAAATCTATTATTATTATTGTTGACTGTCATTTGTGGTACAGTATTTTGCCTTTAAAAGGAGAGAGATCTTGAACATTTTGTCCAGCAATGGTAAAAACTAAAGTATAAACACAATGTTTTTTAAAATTTTTACCTTTTCATTGCCAGCGCTGCCACACAAGAAACACAGCCTGGGCACAGTGAATGGTGCAGTGCCAATCACACCAAATCCAGTGCTGCAAACTTCATCGGGATCATAGCTCTCCCAGAAATCAACGCAAATCAGTTCCGGACGATTTTGTCCACACTTCTGTGACCTGCCGCGAATCTGTAAGATAATAAAAGTGATATTTAGGACAATATTTATATTTTCCAAACGCAATTTAAATGTAAAAACAACATAAACATACATGATATTACTTGAACATATAATGTGTAATGAAATTGAGGTATATTTTGTTTTTACTCACATTTGTGATATTTGACAATGGCTTCTGTATCGTCTTTTTTGGGACTAGATCCATAACAGTTTCATCTTCACTAGATTCCACTTTTGTTTGTGGTTTAGCAACGGGAACTTCCACCTTTCTCTTCTTAGACTCTACAACTTCTGTTTCAGGGTCTTTATTAATAACTTCTGGGACTATCTGTTGTGTTTTATTCTCTGTATCAATTTCAGATTCACCACCAGATATATCAGGCAGGCCATTTTCTTTATCAACAGGTAATGCAGTACTGTCGTCATCGGATGACAAAGATGGTTTATCCTTCTCTTCTTGAGTGGGAAATGTTGCAATCGGTTGACCCAGCACTATAGAGGCACTTCGGCATACATGCTTAACTCTTGGACCTTTCAGTTCCATTTTCTGCCTCTTAGGGTCTTCTGTTTGCTTGCCATCACTCTTATCTTTCTTTCGCACTTTCACCCTTGTGAGGCGACGTTTCCTGTTGTTACTAAAGTCTTCATTCGCTTCCTCAGCTTCTTTAGTTTCTTTCTGAACTTTCTCCTGAAATTATATTTTTGTAGATTATAAAATGGATCGAGGATATAAAAACAAAGAGAATATGGTAATGACCAAAATAGGAAACAAATAATTACAACACAACTTAAAACATACCTCTTGTTTTTCAACCTCTTCTGATGGCTTCTTTGTTACTTTCAATGTACCAAAGAGTTTGGTGTTTTCATTCTCAGTGGTAGCAAGAGCAGTGAACATTGGCTGAGGTGTAGTATTGCTTGCAATCCGCAACGGGTTAGCTTGTGTTATAGGTACAGATGCCTTAGCACCGGCCCTCATGTGCGGTGGGAGCATTGCTGTCAAACTCGCCCTGATATTTGGTGGAACTTGGAAGGCTTTCAAGCACATCTTCAACCAGCATGCTGGGCAACGAGTCTTATTTGTGCAGCGTAGCAACTTCCATTGTTGAGATCGGACAATCGGGGGAACATGGCAGTTACCTGTCAAATTATTTTTACATTATTAAAAATTTGTATGTCTCAACTGTTTTATACATTAACTACGACAAGATACACCGAATTAACCTGCACATTTTGTATATGACCACACATTTTAATATAGTGGCATAGAATAACTGTTACATCTACAGAGCTACATTATAACTTACATTCTAAATATTCCTTGTAAACTACAACAATAAACATGTTCAATTAATTGTACAGATATTAAATTTAATTTAAAATCCTACTTTATTAGCATTCAAAAGCTATTCTTGTAAATAATTTGTAAAAAAATACATACCTTCTCCTTTGAGACACTGCATTACAACAGGACCAGTCCTGTGAGACAATTTTTCCTTCTTCAGCATTTTAGATATAAACTTGCGGCATGACTCACAGGAGTATATCCCAAACTTGCGTGCTTGTTTGACAAATCTATAGAAGCGGACTGCACCACATACTCCACATGTAACAGTGGTAGGAGGGTTTTGTGCTGGAAGTACAAGAAACAAAATCAAACACAGGAAAAGAAGAATGGATTAATATCTTAATAAATTACTTAAAAATTCTTTATATTATTGAGTACCATCAGACAAAAATAAGGTTATTTTATTTAATAGAGTAGTGATTAATGTTACTAAAAACAGATGGTATTTTGCATGTAAGTGATTTATAGTTGTCAGATTTCTAAGTTTATAAGTAATATATTTTACAAATAAGCTTACATGACACAGGTGCAACAGTAGAGAATGGTCCATCTAAGCCCATATTTGATGGGGTTGTTGTGTTTAATTGCAGCCTTGCTTCTCTAATTATAACTTTGCCCCTTAGTAGTTGTGATGCGGTAGACTTGTCTTTCTCGGGACTTGATGAAGCTGGTCTTTCCTCCTCGTCACCACTGCCAGCAGGGCTCTCACTTTCCCAACTGTCCTCAGACTCGGAGCCACTGCTAGTACTAGGAGAGGTACTGGCATCAGATATATCCATTAATTTCCGCATAGCATGCCCCGTCCTTTCTTCCTTATGGTCATTTGTTTTTGCTTTTTCCAAATTCTCAACATTTGAATTCTCATCTGGTGAGTACTCAGAATCTTTTTCGAATGAGAATAGATCACGTAAGGACTTTCGATTGCCAGTGTTGATGTTAGAGAATGAATTTGTAGTTTTGTCTTTGAATAAGTTTGATGAGGATAGCATATTTTTGTCTCTATTCTTTTCATTTTCATTTTTCTCTGCATCATCTTCTTCAGGTGAATCATCATTATCATGAAGGTTGTTAAAGACTAACCTTTTTAGTTTTGGCTTTTTAAGAACTTTTCCAGAACTTAAAGCACTGGATATGGTTGACTGTTCTTCACCATCAATAAATCTTTTGTTAGGTTTAATAACCCTCGATGAATGGGCACTCCGGACTGGTAGAACAAACTTGGAATTGCCGGTTTCCCTATCCATAGGCGAAATATTTCTTGGTGGCGGTGAAATACAGCGACTTTCACTGAATTGTGAAAATTTGTTCATCGGTTTTGATAATGGATTGAGATTCTTTCTCAAATAACCTTCTTGTTGTTCAATGCTTGACTTTGAACTTAGATCTGTCAGCTTTGCGGGTTTGAGAATGCTGTTAAATGTGGAGTATTCTGTTTGTTTTAATGAAGATTTCTTCTTGATGATGGATACAAGAGGTGCATGATGTTTGATGGGAACTTTTTTAAGTGGTAGAAATATATCTTCACAGCTCTCCACTGTACCAAAAGTGACAGTCTTTTTCACAGGTTTAGGTTTATCACTTTTAGATGGCTCCATTTTGTTTTGGGATCTAGTTCGCACTGGTGATTTTGATAAGTCGCCTCCGTTTTCTGGAGGCTCCTTCTTGTTCTTTTGTGTATCTTCAGTTACTTTATTCTCACTGGTAGAGTTTTCCTCATTCTCATTATTACTTTCTTTCTTCTCTTCTTCCTATAATGATTTTAAATTCATTACTATTATTTAACACAAACATTTTAATTATGGAAGTATTTATAAACAGGGACAATGAAAAAATTTATTAATCGAAATTACTAATCATGTTCATAAAGAAGTTGCTGTGGTGAATGGGAAAAATTATTAAAAGCCTCATATATTCAAGCCTCATATATTACAGCTAATAAGAAATATTTTTTAATCAAATTCAAAAATATTTATAGATTAGGTCATATTTAGATTATTACAAGTCATTAAATATCTATATCTATACTATTATATAAAGAGGAATGATTTGTATTTCTATATGTACTGAGATAACTCAAAAACTACTGGGATAATTTCAAGTATTCTTTCATCATTAAAAAGCTATGTTATCACTAAGTAACATAATGCTGAAGAAGTCCTGAGCAACAACTAGTTATTGATACAGTGATGATTTCTATAAAAATGTAAAGTACTATACTTAATATTAGTCCATAATGTTTCAATCTTTACAAAAAAACATGACTCATACAATCCAACATGTGCAAAAAAGTGTTACAATGACTCACTTATTCAGTAAAAATAGAATTTCTAGAACATCACCCGAATGTACTAAAAACTAGTAACTGGGTGTCTGACTTAGCTTCAACAATTTTAAAAGTATGAGGTGTATTTTTTAGAAAATGAGCAGTATGTTAGTGTTAGCATAATGAGCCCTGAGTAATATTGGGTTGAATATTTAGGAATACTCCTTACAGGTGTAATGGATGGATGGAATGTGGATGTCGGCAGGGCAGAGGAAACGTCTGCCCCCAAAGAGACAAAAATGTAAAATAGTTATGAAAACTATTATGAATTTGATTTATAATTATAGGGCATCATTAGCCTCTAGCCAGCCAGCTTAGATTAATGGCTGGTGCTACATTTGGACTTCAGTATAGTGATTTTAAGTGTAAGATAGAATATTCTGAAGTAGGTATGTTAGGAAAAGTGAAAGTTTGTGAATTAAGGCTTTAAGGTCATAGGGATCTTTCTATGAGCAATTAAGAGTTTGGAATGTCCAACACATTTGTAATCTTAGGATAGGAGTATTACTATGGATAATTTTGGAATTTCATTAAAGTTATGAAATGGCTGTTTATTTTATGTTTCAAAATCAAAGATTACTATAACACAGCTCTAACATTATATATTTTTTATAGTTCTTTTGTAATTAATGACTATTCATGTGACGGTAACCTTATTTGTTTGATAACCAGTTGATTGTTTGTTTATAACCATCTGTTAATATAATGATTTCACAAGAATTACTTCAATGTCATAATTCATTGTATTAATAGTACTATTTCATGAAAATTAATACCTTAACTTATATGCATATTTCAAAAAATATATTAAGGTCACTAAATATATTGAATTTGAATTGACATTGAATTAGTACGATTAGTAAAAATATGAAATATGCATTAGAATAAGTTTCGAGTAACTATTTATTGTTAGTTAAGATTACAAACTACAATTGCCGTTTTATCGTATAAAGATTCTTCTACAGTTGGCCCCAAAAGTTAGGTTAGAAAATCAAATAATCAACTTAGATACGATTGTCGTTTCAATATTTCATAAGTAAACTTCGTAAACAATCATTTTACAAAACGTTGCATTCTGTAGACGTTTGCCTTTGTTGACATGATAAATCGTATGGATAACTAAATGTCAAAATTCCTACATTGCTGGACGCCACAATACGTTTGGCGCCTCGTTTGCGCTTGGAACTATTACGTAAACATAACATTTCCGCGTGTATTTTGTTAATTTTATGTAATTTACTTGTAAACTGTTGAAAATTAGGCATCGCATTTTACCTCTTTCTCCCCAGTAAAATCATTGCCGCCCGAGCTGCGGGCGGCTGGGTGGTTTTCTTGAGCAGTCTCATGGTAAACAGTGCCCGAGAGTACACTTATACGCTTTCTGTTCTGGAACTTTAGCGGTTTCCCGGGGAACCTGGACCTTCCCATTTTGATACGCACATAAACGAAGGACACTCAGTGCGTTTCGAGCGAACGCGAAGATACTGGCGCGCATGCTCCGGCCCGCGCGCTCCACAACGCCATTCCACTCATTTATGCAATGTGTACAACAAATTACGACGCAGTTTTCATCACAAGCACACCCAAACATAAACAGCACTATCACCCTTCACATTATTTATTAAAACGATCACTTTACACAGTTTTTGCAAAGAACGACATCATCCATCATTTTAATGGTCGACTGATCGTTAACGCTGAAGTCGTAACGCTTCCATTCAGCGGAGCGTCAACGATAAAACAAAAGAGAATGTAGTAAAGTGCTCGACTCGGCCGCACGACGCGTCGCTAACAGTATTTGCGTTTTGTTCCATTTGTTAACATGAACCGAATTATTGAAATGAATCTCTCGTAATTTGACAAAGATGGCTGTACGACGCGCTATAACAATAGCGAACACGAGTGATTAACGAGACGAGGCGCGCGAGGCCGCGGTGTGAACGACACCTGGCTCTCGGAGGCCAGTTATGGATTTTGAACCAATCGCGACGTTAATTCGGACCGGTATGAAAACAAACATGTCCGATGTCGCTCGCTACGTCTTGCTCCTATACGGCATCTATCTGCATAGACGCCTCACTCACTCATTTCACTTTATCAATAAAAATGCCAAGTAATAAGATCAATCTGCGTGATCGGTGGCGCCTTTGTTTTGATTTGCACATCATCCGCTTTATGGTTAGTGTTGGATAGCTGGTTAGCAATTAGGATTGTTTTTTGTCATAATTTTATATTGGCGAATAAAAATCTTTTATCATTAACTTTTACACTGATCTTGTTAAGTAATTGCTTTATTAACTAAGTGGTTTACGTTTTGCCTTTTATTTTGTTTTTTTTATTTTATTACTAAGAAAAGGTATATCTAATTTTATGTGTATTTGAATAAACTTAATTCTCAAAGAAACCTTAAATCTAACATCGTATTTAAAGTCTATAGTACATTTTACTACGACTATTATTTAAAATTATAGCTGATACAGCTAAAAATATTGAGATTCAGTTTTTATAAGTCATTGATGACTCTGAATATAATTCCAATTATTATTGGGCATTATTTTGTATTATTTCTAATTAAAAGAAATAATTAACTAAAATTCATAGATATGAACTGCAATAACTAATCATTAATGTATAATCAACGGCGAAGATTCATTCATAGCTATAACAATAGTACGTGGCGCTAGTACTATTTATACACAAACATACTTCTACGTATATACAGCGCTCGCACCCTATTTGCAGTGAACCCCTCAACTCCGTCGGTCGATCATGCGTAAAGGGCGGAGAAGGGATGTAAAAGGGAAGAGCTTCGGTGCTTGAACCCTAACTACATATAGATATATTCAACATTGGAAGATTAAAAATTCCACTTAGAATACTGAGTTATTAAATTACGAAAGTACTAACTTTATTCAATACTGACCTCTAGCGTGAGTTATGTGAACGAAAAGTTGTTTGCTGAAACGCTTCCTGAAATACATTGAGTACGGGCGGCTTGTCCTCGACCATAGTCGACTCGGATCGAAGATAAACTGTACACAATCACTGTTTTAAGAAATTTTCACTTAAACATCACAAGTTTCGTCACACTTTCATATCCATTTCACTAGTACGACTCGTTCGCGTTTTGAAAATAACAATTCGTTTGTAAATATTATGGTATGAGTAATATTTACATTACTTTCCTTGCAGTGGTGTTGGTGCGTGAAACTGTAGTAGAGCGACTGGCGTACAAGCGGCGCGCATGCCGCGAGGGACACGTTGGAAATATAAAAATGGACAAACTCCCCTTCATGGGGGCTCACCCGAATGAATCACAGTAACACACGAAACACTCTTTTAGTTTGTAAAGATTTTTATTGTAAGTCGCGGCGGCGTAGCGTGCGTAGAGTGCGTGTGGCGCGCGAACGCCCGCACTTCGGTTCAAATTTGAGCGGTACCGAGGTATGATGCGAACTTCCGTGTAGCTCTTGACAAAATATTGATCGACGCGACTCCCGCCGTCTGTGGACATTTTTCACTGAGGCCGGCTTTCGGAAGGAGGATAATCGCTGTACCTCACCGGCTTACTGTCTGTGTGTCCGTATTATGCCCAAATGTGAGACCCCTTAACGCGCAGGTAGATATTTTTTGTGTTATTTGGGTCGCAGGCTAGAGTAGGTAAAGTGATTCATATAGCATAGAGGTCGATCTTTCTTATTCTTATTCCAATAAGCTTTATTGAGTACAAATGTTTTTCATCGATGAATATTTTATACATAATATTTATTTTAATTTCATTAAGAATAGAAATGAATTCTTAAAAATGTTGTAAATATTATATTTACTTTAACGGTAAATATATTTTTTTTTATTGTTGAATTTACAATTTATCTTAAAAAAAACTTTAAATAGGGGAAAAAAATAATAGGTGACACAAATGCAGTTAATTTATTATAACTACTAATATTATAAATGTGATGAAGTTTGACGGATGGATGTTTTTTAGAGTGTGTAGCCTAAACGGCGGAAAGGATATCGAGTGAAATTTGGTATAGACGTAGAGGATAGTCTGAAAGAACACATAAGCTATTCATTTTATTTTAACTCCGCGAAGACGGAGTCGCGGGCGAAAGCTAGTACTACTATAATGCAGACCTAGTCCTAGTACTGTCGTTCAGTTTAAATGCAAATATCATCCACAGCTTAATTTGGATTAGGGCGACATCAGGACTATCTTTCTGGAGAGCATTTGGAGTCAACTATCTACATTGAACATTTTATTACATAATAATGATGAAGAAATGACGTCGAATTACATCCTTGTCAACCAATGAAAATGGAACCTAGCGAAGAAAAAGCACGACAAATAATTAAAATGATAGTAAAGATTTTAAGGCGATTAATTTGACGCCACTCGCTGCCAATCCGATTCTATTTACTCTAGCTCCGCTGTTTCCATTACCGTGGTTTCTTATTTCTTTTTCAGCGTTCCGTGGTGAACGTGGCTAGTTTCAGTATAACATGGATGAGGTCAATGTTCTGATATTTTCGTTATACGAAATTGAGTCGACATTACGAATTAAACACAAATTTAATTATATTACTTTTTATCTAAATTGCAGAAATAACATCTAAATAACTACTGCAATTCACCTTGAACAGTTCATTTAACTTGCTCGTATAATTATAATAAAAAGATCGATAAACTCGTTAGTTTGGCTGGAAGGTTCTTTGGTTTTAAAATGCTTAACGTCCATAATGTGTTTAATGATTTTTTTTTAATACCTAAATATACTTGTACCTAAATAGGCTTGTATTATGTTATTTTTTTTTATATTGTACGATATTGAAGTTGTATGTGTTTAGGGTCACCTTAACAATTATACTACTAATTGGAATTGCGTCATACAGATAAAGCTATAAAATAATATTTCTGTTCTTAGCGCTAGCTTTACATTTATATTATTACTTTTTAACTAATATGTAACTAGGTACAGTTTTATTTTAGCAATTACATAAAACATCTGATTTTCATTGAGCGATTTTAATGGTTTATCTTCAATGAGTTGTTTCTTCTTCTGTCTTTGCGTTTTCACAGGTATTGGGGGACAGCCTTCTTCGACCTATGTATGTAAGTCTCCACCGCTCGAATCTTAGAGGGTTGTTCGTTTATTTATTTATTTACACTTTGTACACAACGAAAACAATCACAAAAAAAAATACATATTGAGCGTTGGTTGTACAGGCGAGCATAACTCTAATAGAGTTTTCTTACTGCTAACCGTTTCGATACAAATTAGATGTTCGTTTTATTTTTATCCTTTTCTTATTTAACCTGGGTTTCTGTTGCTGAAACACATGTTCAGTATTTTCAGGATAAATTTTACGGGAAAAGTTGAATGGCGAAATTCGAACCCATGACCACGTGATCGAAAGTATAAAAATCAATTTACTTAAATCATAAAGTACCCTGCCCTGTATCACAGTATTGCTTACTAAAAATATTGTTGTTTATTGCGACGAGATTCTGGATAATTGTAAATAAGGTAAGACATTATTTTATTGTTTACTAACAGTGCAATTAATCAAGTAATGATTTAAATCTATCTGTTTGTCTGTTTGTTTTGGTCAATAACTTTAATCGATAATAATTTTGTACAAAAATAGAAACTTCGCGATAATTCAATATTGTTTTTTTTGGCTATGACTCGAACTTTGGAAATTTGTCTATGGTTTAATACAGTGTCGAGTTCGCTTTCGCTTCGCGCCAATATTTCTTTCATATTTCTCTTTATGTTTAGTCAGTTTTAGATTAACTTAAATATTTCTTTTTTTCAGTTTTATCACATTTAAATAACAGTAACTATCATTATTACGCGCAGTTTTTCTTCACTGTTTAAAGCTCTCCGTACAAAATATAAAATGCCGGGTGCAAACGAAGTAACTTTGAAAGTCACTCGCCTCACCGAACATGCTTTCCTACCTGTAAAAGGGTCTGAAAAGGCTGCTGGATTTGACTTAAAAAGGTAAACATTGTTAAAACCACCATGTGCGATAGTATTCGAATGTCAAAATGTACTTTTATGTAAATGCAATTCTAATACAATGCGTTCCGATAATTTTTTTTAATATCGAAGAATTTTGTTTTGTTAATTAAAATTATATGAAGTTCAAAAAAAAATAAACATTTGTAAGTACATTGGTTAAGGTGTGTATACTATTGACAATATATGCAAGTTAACCATGTAATTAAATCAATTATTAAATACATGTATTCTTTTTTAGTGCATATGATTATACAGTGCCTGCCCGTGGTAAACAATTGATAAAAACTGATCTTCAGATAGAATTGCCGTCTGGATGTTATGGACGTGTAGCTCCACGTTCAGGTTTGGCAGTCAAAAATTTCATTGATGTTGGTGGTAAGAACATACTTATGTTTAATTTGTTCAAGAAATATGCATGAAGTTAAATCATAGTCCTACTGAATGTGTTAATGCGGGAAACATGAATTACTTGAATCATTGTTAATGAATATACTAGTAATTCCTCTATGAAGTTGTACCAACAGTACATTACTGTCGTCTCAATAGACTTTCAATGCAATTAGATTAAGACAATTGTAACATTTCCAGCCGGTGTGATTGATGAAGATTATCGTGGCAATGTTGGAGTAGTACTCTTCAATCATTCAGATCAGAATTTTGATGTCAAGAAAGGTGATAGAATTGCGCAATTAATCTGTGAACAAATCTTCCACCCAGTTTTAGAGGAAGTTAGCAATCTTTCAGATACCACAAGGTCAGATGGAGGATTTGGTTCTACTGGAATGCAGTAATTGTTGACTTTATTTTACTTAATAAGCTTAGCATTATTGCTGGTCCTCTCGTAATTTTAATGATTAGTAAGAACTATAGTTTTAAATTGATTAATAAGTAATGATGTAAATGTAAGAGTAACAGAAAACTGTTATATGTGCCTGTTTTGTATTATATATAGCAGCGGAATACTTATAACAAATGATTGTAGGTAACAGACCAATTATGTTTCCCAAGTAAATAAAACTCATGTTTCTTTAAAAGGTTTTTTATTAAATACTTAACAACAAACTATGTTAACATATCAAGTATAACAAATTAAGGTATTGTAATATCAGGATATATTATCCTCAAAATTATGCATAACACTAGTTATAGAAAGTGTTTCTAAATTGGGAATTTCATCAGACACAGTTGGAGTTTCACGATTTCTTTTTAAAAAAGGCCTCAGTAAACTTGTTAGTTTACTATCATTATTTATACCAAAGTGTGACTCTGCCTTTTCAACTTGTTTTTCTATTTTATCCATGTTTTGCTGCAATGTTATCACTACTTCATTTAAAGTAACAATTTTTTTAGACAATATTGTGATTTCTGCTCTGTATTTATTAATGTCTGTTGTTACAGCTGCGTTACAATCACTATTTTTTAACTTTATCATGTGCACGACACTATTTAATTCTTCCAGTCTAGTTATCATGCTGTCAATAACATCTCGTACTGTTTGAAATCCATCTTCAACATCTAGTTTAAAATACGCCGCGTAATCTTTAGCCACCTTTTCCAACATTTTTATATTGCGCCAAAATCTGGAAACAAATATTCCAAAAAACTTGCTAGATAATCAACTACATCTGTCACTGCTTTTGACAATTCTAGCAGAGACGACGGAAAGCGACGGTAAACTTTTATGAACAATTCCATGTTATTCTGTAATTCTTTAAGATAACTGTGATGGATGTTAGAAAAGTACAGTTTTAAAGCAAAACCAAAGCAGACTAACTTCAACCATACTTACGAAATGGTATTATTGCAAAATTAACCATGACACCATTTATATTTCCAAATAAGAAGCTGCAAAATTGCAACAACGATCTTTGGCTGGTTAGTTTTGAAAATTCATTTAAAATTGTGATTGTACAAATAAAATATTTTAACAATCTAAACTTTCCTACTTGATTATAAGTAGTAATATAAAAATAGGTATAATCGAATCATTATTCTTTTGTATTTTTTCAAATCTCAGAAAAATTTAATAGGGTACTTAATATTATATTTAATATTATCAATTACCAAAAAATGTTACCGACAAATTCTTATCAAAAGTTTTAAATGAAAATAAAAACCTACTTTTTTAAATAATTCAAGAGGTCTGTAGACAGGAGTATCTATGGGTTTGACATTTTAAATATTTTTATTAGTTATCTGTGCTGTGGTTGACATAATCAGCTCAACTTGTCAGCTTGTATCAAATCAACTGGATTGAACTTTGGGAGTATGCAATGTCTGGTTATTTGTTAATAACATAGCGTTTCTTTATAAATAGTCGAATGTAAATAATATTCTAATGCTTCCGTCAACCGGCTATTTTAAAGGCCTGAATTGTCCTTTTTTTGATAGCGGTCTTTGTGAACGGCCTTACTGTCATTTTCGTCATGTTAAGAAAGAACCCCAAAACAACGATGGCATCGAAAGCGATACAATTTTACAAAAACTGGTGTCTGCAGCCGTACAAAAGGTACTGCAACAAACGGAATCTTCAGGATCAGTATCTCCGACCGGCAGATCAACAACAAATGAAGTATCAAAGACAAACATAGTACCTGTAACTTCTAAAGCTACATACAACCCGACACCGATAGCAGAGTTAAACAAAATTAATAACGTCGACACAGAAAACAACGAAGATGCAAATGAACAAAGAAAGAAGCACATTCCAGTACCTTACACACCTAGAAAGCCAGCTAATATGGCTATTAAGCGCCCAGTTGAAGTTAATGGTTCTTTTAAACCTTTTATATATATACCTCCGCCCACCACATATACTCCTGGTTCCACTGAGAAGTCACAATTAGATCCATACACTCCAAAAGGTACGGTAGAATCAAAAGAAAAATATTTGCCAGGAAAAGAGACTGAATTACAAGAGTATACACCTAATGAAAACTCAACATCAACAAAACGGAGCTATGTTCCCTCAGATAAAAATTCAAACAAAAAGAAGATTTTAGAATATAAACCTACAAAGGTAACTAGCAAGCCAGAAGTGGCAAAGGTTACATATCAACCCACACCAAGGTCTCTAGCTCCATGTTTTTCTAGCGATGAGGAAGTTGAACCTGAAGAAAAGAAGAGAAAATTATCAAGTGATTTGAATGGTTTAGATGACTTGGGTGCAGAGTTTGATATACTAGATCAAATTTTAGATGAAGAGAAATGTGAAAATAATGTTAAAAACAGTAGTGAGAGAAATACAACAGCAAAAAATAACAAAGAAAATAGTGAAAAAAAGGACACTAAAAGTAAGGATGACAAATCTGATAAGGATAGAAATAAATCTAATAAAAGTAAATCTGACAGCAGAGAAAAGTCTGAAACACAGGATAAGCAGTCAAAAAGTAAAATCTCCTCCAGTAAAGATTCTGAAAAAAAATCAAGTCATAAAAGTTCAAGTAAAGATAGAGATAAATCAGATAAGAAACATTCTTCAAAAAGTTCAAAACATAAAAGCAGTTCTTCTAGGAGTTCAGAACATCATTCCAAAAATTCAAAGTATCACAAAGAGGATACTAAAAAAAAAGAAAAGAGTCACAAACAGAAAAGTCATAAAAGCTCTAAACATCACAAAGATAAACATAAAGAAAAAAAAGAAGAGCCAGAGGATGATAACTTCGACTCCCACGAAAACAATGAAGAGCTTCTAGAGATGTCGGAATCAGATGAAGAAAGTATCACATTAGAATGTAAGAAAATTTTTGAAGAATATGTACCTGTAGAAAAACCTAAAGTTGTTGAGGATACAGTCAACAAGGATGATGATAATGAGGCAGAGGAATATATATCAAGTAAGAAAAGAATATCTCACACTATTGATAAAAATATAAAAGTAACTCCAAGGCCACAAGTGAAACCTAATTTTAAGATAAATGCAGCACAAGCAATGGCTGATAGAATGGCAAAAATAAGAGAATTTCATGCATCGAAAACCCCACCGAATAAAAATGAAGTTATTCAAAAACCACCAGAATCACAACAGAATAATGTGTTCACTCCCCCAAGTAGTGGTAATACTAAAATTAGAATTGCTCATGTGCCTTATGCATCTACATTAGTTAATGCCAAAAAAGGTATTTCACACACCCCAGACAATAAAAAAAGTAGTCCATCAACTAGTTGTACTTCTATACAGACAGTTAAAAAAGGCACTCAGAGAGTTGCCCACATGCCTAATGAGAAATTTATTGACCGACCTGGTGTGTTAGAGCCTCTTGCCTCCAAAATACCCGCAAATATTAGATCTATATACTTGAATATGATGATAGATGAATGTTTAAAAATTTATTTATCATCAACTGATGCTTATGCCAGAGCTCAACATGAAGAATTAGCAACAAGTAAAAAGTGCTCAACTATTCCAATATACAAAAATTCTTCAGTACTTACAGTAAGTAGGCTAAGAAAGGAAGTGCAAGAATGCAATGGTGTTAAGAAGTCCAGCTCTGAATGTACAGCTTTGCAGAAAATTCCACAGGCAATATCTGGTACCACAAGTAGTGCAGGATCTTGGAGCATAGAAAACAAAAATAAGAAGAATGTGATTGATAAAAATTACTTTAGTGGTGCAAAACTGTATAGCAATATACAGAAATGGGTTTTAACAGAGGAACAATTACAAAGTAATGGTTTTCCAAGACCACATAGCAGTGGTGAAAAAGGGAGAGCAATTATCTATGGTCAGAAAAAGCAGAATCCTCCTAAAGGTTATATAAGGACTTGCTGTCGATGTAAAAAAGATTATACAGTAAATAAAAAGGGTTTCCCTGCTGTTAAAGAAGAGTGTATTTATCATCCTAACAATAAATATAGAGTGAGAGGAGAAGCACGTTACCAGTGTTGCAGTCAAGATGCCACATCAGATGGATGTTGTATAGCTTCCTGCCATGTATATGAATTTGTAGATTATGAAAACTTAAAAGGTTATATTAGAACTATGCCACCAGAATCAGAAAGTGATGATTATGGAGTTTATTCATTAGATTGTGAAATGTGTTACACAACACATGGGTTAGACTTGACTAGGGTAACTGTAATAAATTCAGCCTGTAAAGTTGTTTATGAGACACTTGTAAAACCTTTCTATCCTATAATAGATCATAATACAAGGTATTCTGGTATTACAGAAGAGCAAATGATGGGTGTGACAACCACACTTTTAGAGGTTCAAGCCACTCTTCTTAGTATGTTTAATAGTAAAACTATATTAATTGGCCACAGCTTGGAATCTGATTTCAAAGCACTTAAACTGATTCATGATACAGTAATAGATACTAGTGTTTTATTTCCACATAAAATGGGCCCTCCATATAAGAGAGCTTTAAAGAATCTATCCTCTGAACATCTTAAGAAAATTATTCAGAATTCTGTTGATGGTCACGACAGTGCTGAAGATGCTACAGTGTGTATGGAGTTATTGATCTTTAAATTAAAAGAAGATTTGAAGACAAGGTAAAATTATACTTAAAAACTTTTTTAATTGCAGTTTCATAGCTGCTATAAACTTAGGTGCAACTACTGATTGTTATCTGGGCCAGTTGATCTCTAAAACATTTACATTTATTGTAAGCAGTGATTAGCCATTGTAGTGGATCAAACAGTAATACTCAGAATTTGTGAGACATGTTTATGATTTCGATTATCCTGGATTTGATCCGGACCACCCAAGTTGACCACTTATTTGTAAATGCTACACAAATGTAGTCTGTTAAATTGTATTTTATGTTAAAATGAACTGATTTTTTGATAATTGATAAGTAATGTTTGCCTACGGGTTATATGGTATTATAACAATATTTGTCAACAATTGTATATTTCCTCTTATTTATGAATTAAATTTATTTAAAATTTCATGATTATTGATTTTTAGATAAAGATATTTTTCCACATTTAGGTATTTTATTTATCATCCCGTCAAAATGTTTAACTTGTAGTTCTCATTTGTAAACAACACAACAAAATAGAGGGGTAGCCAGAGATTACAGACTTCCAAATTGAATATCATACATGTGGCAACTTGATTTGTTACAGAATTATAATTTTCTTTCACAAATTCCTATAACTCTATGCAGGGCATGTATTCGATTACTCATAGCTTTGCTACCTCCCAATTAAATTGTGTTAAAACTCGTGGGTAGATGAAGGTTCTTACTAATAGGAGTAGTAATTGTTCCAATTACTATTCATGACTGAATTATACAGTACATCCAGATTAATCATAATTATAATCTGTTGTAACTCTATTTTTTATTTACTATATATATTTTGAAGGTAACAAGTCAATACCAATGATATGTACTATTTTTTAACTTTAATTCAAACAATTAAAGTTACTTTAATAATAACTGCAAAATTATAAGCCAAGAGAAATCTGTAATTGGCACTGGATAGGTTGTGTTTGTCAGATTGAGACATTTTCTTACTTTAGGCTTATTCATTACTTGAGCCACTAACAATGCATGACAATTAGCAAGATTCATTTGCATTGTACTTGCAAAAACATACATGATGCCTTTCAAGGATGTCGCCAATGATGCCTTTACCTATACTAATATTATAAAGAGGAATGATTTGTATTTTATATGCATTGAAATAACTCAAAAACTACTGAGCCAATTTAAAAAATTCTTTCACCATTAGAAAGGTAATTCATTGGTATGTTACTCACAGATAAACCTTATATATTTTTTTTAATTTCACGGGAACGAAGTTGCGAGCAACAGCTAGTATTTTGTAATCTCGCTAAGGTTTTTTTCGCTTTAGTGTTTGTTTTCACCATCAAGTTTATTAGCAAGTATTAATTTTTTAAAAATAAATTGTGTAAAACTTGAATTGTATTGTATTTTTAACAATAATCTTCTACCACATTATAATTCTACAAAAGGCTTCATATTGATTAAAACACAAACCTCAAACTGAAAATAATATTTTACTAGAAGACAAAATATTACATATACCTATGTAAAAAGGATCATGAAACATAGCTAAATCATAGCTTAATGAGAAAACAAAATTGCTATACAACCCTTTAGAAAATATAACATTGGGACATTCTAGTGCAGTGAAACTAGAAATTTGTGCAGATGTGACAATGGACCAATAATACAGCAATAATATTCAAGAGTGTATTTGTAAATGTTAACATTTCATTAAAAAAATTGTACTTTCTGGATTCACATGAGGCCTTTACAGGTGTCCATTTCACTGAAAATTTCATTCCAATCTAATGATTATTTTAAAAGCGTTTACAACCCCCAATCAAGGTATTTTTATTTTGCTATAAAAAGAAAACATAAGGATAACTACTCTACAGCTATATTATCGAAGCATAGGCAAGGATTAATTTTAACACATCAGAGAATGTAAATGGATGACCTAAGAAAACATTTTTGTATAAGTAATTTATATTTCAACACAAAATTTAACTGAAATTAGTATAATGCTGACACAGTGAAATATGGAGAATGCTGACATATATGTAAAAAATAAATAATTCAATTTATAAAATAAAACAAACTGCTATTTTAATGTTAAACATGTTATTAGCCTATTATTTGCTATTTGCACATGGTAATCCAAGTTGAACATATTTTGATACAGATTATTAAAACACTACTACCAACAAAATAAAATAAAATCCTTAATATACTTGGTTTACCAAAATCTTTCTTATGTCCCATACTGCCAATGTATAATGGCAGGTCTGTATATGGTATTAAAATTTTTAATTTACACAATCGTCCCAATGAATTATATCGGTGGCCAATGCCATGGGCAGTGCAAATCGTGCATACAACATTGTTGCCAACCCCACACCTTCCCTGCTAATCAATAAATGATTGCTCTACGCAAGCTTTAACACGCTTCTCGTATTCCCTACGGTTTTCCTTGTACAACTGGGCCGCCATCGAGTTTGCTGGTGAGTTGGGGTTAGGATCACTTAACAATGACTGGAAAAAAAGAAATTCACTTTTATTACATATATATGTTTCATGTACTAACCATTACTATTTATACACTGATATAATATGACCTTAGTAATTCCTATTTTAGACTTGTTGTAGAGCAGGTTTGATTTAATGACACTATAAAAATAAAACCTACAAAGACTTGTGAAAACTATAGTAGACTTTATAACTAATTAGACTAAATTCCTATTGGAATATGAATTATTTGTATTGTAATCACAAAGAAATTGTGATAGGAATTACAGGTCTCTCTCTATGATCGGGAGAAAACTAGAGCAAGCTAACAATGATGATTATTGCAGTTATGAAGAGTGGCATGTCTTCTCAAAGGAGCCTACAACAAAATTTGTGGATCCTAATGTATAAAATATTTATATATTTACCTGTATTGAGGTTAAAATGGCAGAGACATCATATGTAGGACTCCATCTATTTTGCAAAATGTCTAAACAAATCCCACCATCAGCATACACATTTGGATGGAACATTTTGGATACAAATCGAACTGTTGGAGGTTTGTTAGGATATTCCTCGGTAAATTCTATAGTTAATTTAAAGGTCCCATCTTCAAATGGAGTATCATGGGGACCGAATATCACAGCATTCCAGATCATGATGTTATTGTCAGTAGGAGCTCCAGAAACACCAGTGGGCGGGTCCTCTTGTAAGCTGTGAAGTATTAAAATAGAACATTAGATCATTCTAGAACATGAGAAAACAAGGTCAATGACATTAAAAAACGAAGTTGATTAATAACGAGCTGAGAAATACCTTGCGCGTACTTAACACGATAAACTTTCTAAACTTCCACATAACCTAATTTAGCAAACAATAACAAAGATACACACCGACAAATGTATAAATAACGGAGAATTTGACGTAGCCATGACGTAGCTTTAGTACATGCGAAGAGTTTGTGTAAAATTATAGGGAACCTTCATCATCGACTTCATGACAGTATGAAATATGGAGATCAGAAAATAAATCGATGAAGGTGACAATCATATAATTGGTTAATTCAGCGTTATCTTTGTGGCCTGAAATTACAAATTATTCAAACTAACAATGAAATACAATTATTCGTACCGTTTAAAATCCCTCATAAGACGTCTTCTAGCTGGCGTTGACATTTTGATCTCACACAATTATTTCAATGTTCTAAGTAATATTTCTTTCTTTTGTACTTGATGTATATCACACGAACAACCGTTTATCACTAGTTTTAAAATTTAGCTTAATTCTGTAAATCGTTTCTTTGTTATTTTGTATATAGAGATTTTTTCGTCACGGCCTATGAAATAGTTGTCAGAATGACCATGAAATTAGCAAAAAAAAACTGGCTGAGATCACTGCATTGCAAAGATGTCAGTCAAACTCAAAATGTGTCATTCTATTATTTTTAGGTTGGTGTTTGTTCTACACATTTGTCCATAGACAATATGAGTATTTGTAAGAAAATTCTGAAACCATTTTCCTATTCTAGGTTCTGTTAGGTAACATTATCGCATTTTAATTTTACGCAATGCTTTCATTTTAAATTTAAGTCACCTAAAATAAAGATTTACATTTACTTTTCTTCTTGCACCCTGCCTTTGACGTTTATTATTATTCATTAGTCAAACGATCAACCAACGTTTGTTGAATACCTCTTTAAACTTTAAAGCCAGTCAAGATATCGCCACAAAGATAAATATTATCTACACTTATGTTTACATCGATTTTTAAGTTATTGGTATATATATGATACCAAATAAATGCGTTTATTTTGAAAACATTTTAATGACTGTGATAAAAACATGTAAGCGGTTATAACACAAAATATATCAGTACAGGTAACAGGTTTTTACGTTTACTTAACTATTGATTACATTGCATTGCACTGCACTATTTGATTGGTATTGATCGATTGTCAATGTGATAACAATATTTACTCTTTGGTCTCTGGTGCTCCAGACAACTCCAGAGTTATTTTGAGATCTAATGAATAATTATTTAAATTATTTAAAGAGGTCAATGTTTAAGATTTCAGTTTTCAGTAGTGCTTAATATCGGAGTTCGTTCAGCTGCCGTCTGCTGAGTGTTTTTTTTTTTTTGTTATTTAGCTTGAAACAACAAAGAAGGTAACTGGAGGTGTACCTCTACTTTTCAGTCTCAACTTATATGCATTCATTGATGAAAAGGTAAATTTTTATTTTCTTATTAGATTAAGCAAGCTGGCGTTGTATTATCAAGATAAAGTTAATTATTCAGTAAATTTTGATGGTTTATAGAATTATATTGTACCTGGAATGATGTATTGCAAATAGTCTTCTTTGTAAAAAACAATATTTGCTAAGTGTATGGTGTAATCAACATCAAAATGGCTGCCCCTATTGGTCCTGTTTTTTCTTAAATTGTTTTTCTAGAAGGATCTTTCACCAACATTAGTTTGTAATAAGGACAGTGTTATAAAATTATAAGAAAAAGTGCAATATTCAAGTTCAATATATTTGATTGATATGCTATAAGTTACTTGCATTGAAATGATTACATTTTAGTGAATGCTACCGTGGAGATATTGGATGAGTCTTTAACATATAACTGTTTGTTTCATGATAATATGTCTGGTTCATTGTTTCATTTATCTCAATATTTTTAATGCAATAACATGCATATAGATTTATATAGTTTTTTTGAATTGAAGTGTTTGGAATGTCTTTGAATATAAGATTTGATCTGTTTAAACCCTTCCACACCACTTTAGCTTTAACTGAACAGTTTCGCAATTGCAATTTAACCCACATTTCTACATTAACTAATCAGGCTTTTAACATATGTTTATTATGTAAAACATTTATTTTTGGTATGGTTAGTTATTAAATATGTGGCTTATTTTATTTTAAATGGCCTAACTTTTAGTTACCAGTGCCATGAGCGCTTATTTATAACAGATCATCGCTTTTTCCTGTATTTCCAAAGAAAATGACAATGTGAAGAACCAACAGTGTAATGTTTAAGGGCAGTACTGGCATTAAGGGTGCAGTTTGACTATACCCCAGGGTGCCTAATGAAAAGGTGCACTCCACATCTGCGAATTACTCTCACATGATATTTTTAACACCCCACCCTAGAGAGGCCTAGTTTTATGGTTAAAAAAGAGATCTTTTTAATTTGTTTCTTTATTTTTAGGGTTATTTTTAATTATTTTGTGTATTATGTTTGTATCTATGACATTATTTTTATTTTATTTTTTGAGTTTTTATTTTTTTTTAGATTTTGGGACTCAAAACCGAAACATTAAAAACACAAACCTGTTACAGTAAGTATTACCAACACAAAAATAAATAAATAAATGGTTATTGGTATTTTTTTTTGTGTTATTACTGAAATGTTTTGAGAGTGGAAAGAGAAAATTGTGTTTATATTTTTGAACAAACTAATATCTGACATATGTTGGATAAGTTATCAAGTGAATGAAGCTACTAAAAGGATTTTTATGAAAAATGTTACAAAAATAAACATTTGCAGCACCAACTTTAAGTGTTCAAAATGAATGAACAGGCAGTAAAGAAGATTTCTTTTAATAAATCAATTGTAAGTATGGATCTATTTCAAGTAAAATATTATATTTAGTACAGAGGTTGGTAACCTTTTTAGAAGATGGTCAAAATTAACAATATGAGTATTAAATTTATTTTTGTTTTAATTTGAAAAACATTTTTTGATTCCAGTTTTTATTAAATTGGATGATCAGTCTTGGTACCTGTGACTCAAAGATTGTCAACCTTGGTTTAGAGTGGAGATCTGGTAGTGCTAAATTTTCTTACAAATTTTTCAGCTATTAGGTCTCAAAGTGGAACTTTTAAAAAAACAGGAGGAGATAATAGAAAAGAAACAACTACCGCAGCATAAAGCAGAAAACTTTAAGCCTTCTAAGGTTGAAAAGAAATCCGATGGTAATCAAAAGGACCGTAAATCTTTAAAAGATAATCTTAAAGCTGTTGACACAGATGAATTAGAGGCTATAAGAAAATCTAAGTTAGTATTTTTTTTTAATGTCCCTGGTATTTCACAGTTGCATCACCTGTAAAACTATAATTAAAATTTTGATACATCCATATTTTTTTTCTTGTACCAAAATACCATAGATTGTTGTTAGGATATTGCTTATGCGAATTTTTTACAATTGATAGGATTCAAATTATTTGCAAAAAAAAATCGATAAAATCATATTAAACAACGACTTAATATTTTGGGTACCACTGATCTCTATTGCATGAATAGGTTTTTGCTTGGAAATGAGAGATTTTGTTTCATTCCGACATAAATATTGATCAGACAGTTTGTTCTATCTCTATTATTAGTTCGAATCCTCATCACAACATCAAAAAAGCACAAAATACTATGTATTATAACCTGTCCATATATGAAGGTCAGTGGTAGGTATGTTTAGTCATTGTATAATTTCATTGCCAGACAGTGTTAGCATATTGTTTTGTATTTTAAACAGAATAAGTAGGGTGACCTTATGTTTTTTTTGAAAACCATAGTTTGTGATTCAAATTGTATGTTTAATAAATCATAAATCATAACTATCCAGGCTTGCGTTAGAGAAGAAAGCTGAGTTATATGAACATTTATCGGATAAAAGAGGAAATTCACAACTGGCTGAAAGGTTTCTTGTTGATTTCAATAGTAAGAAACAAGCAGAACCCGAGGAAACAGAACAGAGTGATGTTGAAATTAAACCGGCTAATGAAACTGTTGAAGATGAGAGTGAATGGTAATATATATTCATTCTATTTGGGGATTCTACATTTGACTATATTCGGAACTGTCTATAATGATAAACATATCCATTTATATAGATTTTTAATATGTAGATAGTTTAACTATAAAATTCTATAGCCACAATGTTTGTATTTAAAAATATTGTCCATGAGAAGTATGAAAAAATGTTTTGATACAAGTATTTCAACAGTGGAATCCTACAGAAAGAAACACAGTTGCACTTTAATGTTTAAATCTAAATATAGTTTGTTGATATTTCCAGGGTCGAGTTTACTGATTGTCTGGGTCGATCACGTAAATGTCATAAATCAGAGTTGGACATGTTTAAGAAGAGGGACAGGGAGTTAATGAGGGTTATCACAAACTCCGACGACATTGAACCAGTGGAAGTAAGTTATTATTTTTATCACATACACCTTTATTTACTTAGCTATCGCCCGCGACTCCGTTCGCGTGGCATTAAAAAGTATATAGGCTATGTGTTCTTGAAGCCTATCCTCTATATCTATGCCTTTCATCGAGATCCGTTTTGCAGTTTAGGCTACAAACTCGAACAAATATCTATCCCTTCATACATCCGTCCAAAACTTTCGCATTTATAAAATCATTAATAATTAGTATGATTATTTTTATATACCTCTAACGGTTTAGGCAGCGTAAGCCGAGAAAAGTTAAGGTTTAGTGAATTTTTAACGCCGACGTCCAGAAACACGCTATTTATTAATAGTTCTTAAACATTAGTAATAATAAAATATGCCTATGTTGCTCACAGATAAATTGCCTTTCTGATGGTGAAATAATTTTTAAAATTGGCCCAGTAGTTTTTGAGTTATTTCAATACATACAAAAATACAAATCTTTCCTCTTTATGATATTAGTATAGATATAGATAACAATTATTAAATAGTAATGGTGCAAGTAATAAACCTTTTGGAAGATGACAAACTGATCTTCGTAACTTATATTTAACCAATAATTAAAATTGAGAAAAGGCAAATTGTGTTCTACGAACAACTTCGATACATACGCGGCGATCCAAGTGTACACGTGCCGCGAAGTACTTCCAAGGACGGCACGTGTACCAGCACGAAGCCAATAACGTGGCCAACAAACTAATAACAATCAGATCTCAACCACAAACGCGCTTATGAGTCGAAAATGTGAATTGATACCTAGTGGCTCCTCACGCGTGGACGACCTAAATCAACCTCCGTTATAACTCCGCATCGTAATAACGGAAGCGGAGGCAGATGCGGAGTTGTCAATTCTTGCGGTGGTTCCGTATTTTCGGATGCGAAAGTGGAGTTCTGTTACAACCCTAGTTTTGACCAATATTAAAAACAGATATTTTTTAAATATTCTTACTAATATTATAAGCGAAAGTTTTGATGGATAGATGAAAGTTTTTTAGTTTTTATCGCCTGAGCTGCTAAATGAATCTTGAATTTATCGAAGAAATTTAACACAGATGTGGAGAATATTCTGGAAGAACTTGTAGGCTAGGCAACCTTTGGTTTTTTATTTCCTTTTGGACAGAGTCGAGGGCGAAAATTAGATAGTAGAAAAAAAATTGTAGATGTTTTTTATAATAATAAGAATTACAAAAAATAATTTATGTCCGTTTTGGTGGCATGTGCATATTCCCTATTGTTCTTTCAAACTATTAAGTAGTCTTAGTGCTTGGTAGGCATCTACAGCACCTAGATGCAGAAACTACTAACTACTAATTCATACTAGTATAATTGTTGTTGTATATTATTTAATGTCTCAGTGTGTTTAATATAAAGAAAATCTATAAATATATATATAGAGCTTTGCGAATAACATAATCTGTGTTATATGCTGGCTGTAGCTTCAAACTAACATTAAATTATCATTCCAGGAAATAAAGCAGCCGGAGAAACCATTTTTGGTTCAAAAAACCAATGACTATTTACAATCGTTGCGCGAGAAATGGGAAGAAAAAGAAAAAGAATTACTTGCGAAAGACAAAGATATACATTATCAAGATTTATTGTTTGATGGTATGTTGTTTATTATGTTTATATATGGACACACGGCAAAAAAGGAAAGACTACGCGAAGAAAAGACAACAGATTTGTTTTTTTTTTTACATAGTTTGGTAGATATCCGACTATCGTTCAAATAATGCACGTTTTTTAACAAATCCAAGGTCGTCGAGTGGAATTATTTATTTAACATATCAAGGTTTTTTTATAAGTCTGTTAAAATATTATCTTACAAAGCTTTGGTTGATGACAGCGCCATCTATATTTCGATTTAAATAGCTCTTTTTAATGTTTTTTTTTCTGTGGTTTTCTTTTTAAAATTTAACCTTTTTTACAGAGGCAAGAATCCATGGCGTCGGTTACTATTCCTTCTCTACGGATGAAACAACACGTCAGAAGCAAATGCAAGATCTGCAGAAACAAAGACAGGAGACACTGCGCGCACAGAAGGAAGCAGAAGAGAAGAAAAAGAAACGCGATCAACTTCTGGAAGCGAGGGTCGCGGCTGCTAGAGCTCGTCAGCGCGCCAGGGCCGGACTGCCCCCAGAGGAACCAAAGAGTAAGATGAAAAGCTTACAAGAAATACTATTTTTCCATTTTCCATTGTCTCTCCTTTTCCTATGCCAAGACGACTGTCTTTAAATTTATATGGGCTACGCTAGATTAAGGGTACTCTTATTGTTTATTTTATGTCTAAAAGCACCATATAACTAGGTAAAATCATCGGTTGGCAACAATGACTAGAAGACTATGCAACTACGTAACTTTGTAACCACAAATTTTTTTTAATGGCACTGTCTAATTTTGTTCTTTTACTTTACAGAGAATGAAAAAGATTTTACAACATGTCTATTGGAATTTTTGACACAACAGAGGAATGAAGCGGAGGATAAAGCGAAAGAGGAAGAGAAGAAGATTCGCGAAGAACAAGAGAAGGAGAGGCAGAAGTTGAGAGAAGCTTACGTACGCGAATGGGATATCGGGAAAGAAGGTATTGATGGTAAAGTGAAGAAATTCAGAGAGTTAACACAAGAAGAATATGTTGAACAACAAAGAAATAAAAGGATAGATGAATTTGCACCGCTTCCTCAAACATCGAAAACAGCGGACCAAGTGTTCGATGACAAAGGAAATATTATAAAAGAAAATTCAACTAAAACATGGTCAGATGTTAGACCAAAAACTCCTCCACCACCTGTCATAGGACCTATTGAAGAAATTCCAAAAGGTCTATTCTTTACAACAAAAAAAGATGTGAAATACAAGAATTTTGTACCGGCTACTCCGATAGTGAACGAATTAGACGATGAAAGACCAGAGAAAAGAAAGAATGATGGAATTTTAACGGAAATAGCACCGCCACCTACTTATGATTATTACGGACCCGTTCCTAAGCAGGCTAAGGGGAAGAAACCCTTTGACTCCGATATTAACGAAGCTTATACCCAAGGCGCTAAAAGTTTAGAATCTAAAAAGAGCGATCGAAAATTGCCCCAACATTACGACTTTACATTCGATTAATTAAATATTTATGTAAATAAAGAATAATTTAAAAATTTTATTGTTTTTTATGATTAATAAATATTTCCTATACTAAAGAAAACTAATTTAAGAAGACGAAGATTAGCCAATCAAGAACAACTTATTTGTTTTATTTTTATTCTGTAGATCCTTATTTTAAAATTGTTATTGATTTCATCACTTCAATTACGTTGTCTTTATATTTTAGTGTTTTTTTAAAAGCTTTTTTCTTTTTTAAGTAAAAGACGATAGTATGAAAAAGATTATCGCTAAAATACAACAACGTTCACATTTCTTCAGTAAACTGTAGTTTTTTAAATCATTAATAGATGGCGCTATTTTCAATTCACATTTCGTTAAAAAAGGAAATCAGGAAATTATAAAGTAATCATTAATTATTGTCCCTTAGAATGTTTAGACAATTTTCGAATATATTAAATTTTGAAGTCGGTAAAATTACCCTAAATAGTATTGAGTCCTAATTTTCTTACGCTTATAATACAGAGTTCAATGTGTGCTTTGCATTTGCGAATATCTTATTGAAACATAGGTTAATATTTTTTGTTTTGTGATTTCAGCAAACAATTTAATTTTAATGTGTTTGTTTCTTTCTAAGTAACTCTTTGTCTTTAACATGGTGAAATGTCTACTGAACTAGCTATTAAACTGTTATAAGTAATATCTTGCATGGAGATATAAAAAACATTTGTACATATATATCCCATATACATTACTTTATATATGAATTTAGTGTGTAGTCAATAATACCAATCTATTGCACAAAAATCCGCCATTACGTTTATTTAATTAATATTCATTTATGCAAAATTGCTATTTACTTTCAGAAGGAATTGGCAGTATGAGTTCTAGTACTGATGATACGATAAATGAGGGAAGGGAAGAACGACTGAAAGAATTATCCAGGCTTAGACATTTGATTAGAAAAAAGCGCGCATTAAAACTCAAGAAAAATAGTAAAGAACCCGTTCAAATTATTTCAATGCCATTGAGTGACCTTCGCCGTATCTCTAACTCGAAAACGAAAGGTAAATAGGGTATATAAAAATTATTGTAACAAATACAAAGTTGTGTCTTTATATTATTAACAATAAAAACACAGATTTAAAATTGATTGATAAATTTACAAGGTGCTATGTTTGATAATTTCAATAAATATATTTGTTCTTTCAGAACGCCCAAAGAATTTAAAAGAGCGTTTGGTGGAATATTTAAAGAAACAAAAATATATAGAAGACGTTAAAGCTAAGCTTGAGAAAAAGGAGAAGCAGAAGATGGAGGAGCGATATAATCTCGACTTCAACGAAGACAGAACAAAAGTGAGAGTAAAAACTAAAGAAAACAAAGACTTCGAACAAGAAAGACGTAAGGAACAGAAGAAAATAAATAAAAAGCAAAATATTCCTATTTTACGACAACCTTTGAAGAAAAAAAGTAAAAAGGGAATAGATAAAAATGGTAATATTATCAAAAGTTACCCATATAAAGATAAAACTTCAGCAAAAATCCAACCAATAACTCAACCTATATTAGACATCGATCAGATTGTTGAAAAATGTGCCAGTGAGTTCAAGGCTTCAATAAAAAATGCTATAGAAGAATATGCTTACTCTGTTAAAGAGCCTGATTCAGTAAATAATAAAGATATGGATGATAGTATATCTAAAGAGAGTCAAAAATATGATTCAACGAACGACGAAGTACTAACACCATATTCAGACTTGAGCTCAGAGTGTGATCAACCAGACATTGTGACGCAAAAGGACGAGAACTTGGATATACAAGTAAGCAATCGAAAACTGTCGAACCAGCATTTATAACATTAAGATACAAATACAAATTAGAATACAGACGTAGTTTATTTTATTGCAAATAAAGGACTAATTGATTATGAGAACTTTTATTATCTATTAAATATAATAAAACTTTTATTATCTATTAAATAAAATAAAATATATTATACCTTTTACACAATGACTAATCTCTCTTGCAATATTAGTGTTAAAATTGGTAGTAGTTGTTAGTATAAAATTTGTTTAAATTGTTTGTATTAATTAATACAAGCGAAGTAAAAATACTTTGAGAAATTAATATGTTGAACCATTTTTAAACTGAAATTTTTCGAGCAAGCATTTTCGAATTCTCTTAAGTACATTCACAGCGTAAATTCCATTTTAGTTTGGTGATTCAAAAAGATTTAATGTGGTTTAGTCTAGATGTATACAAAAATATTGAAAAGTAGTAAAATTGTTGTACTCAAGGTATCCCTCAAGGCAATATACTTGTACAGGGTCCAAGTATGTTGCCTTGAGGGATTCTCTCATTTAACAAATTTTGTCAAGTTGAGTTAGGTCCTGCAGGAGCGGAAAAATCGAAGAGTTTGTCATTCCAAAAATGTTAAAGACTGTACACCATCGAGACCTGGATAATTGTAGCAGTAGAAATTAAACGTCAAATTTCACTGCCAAATGTATTTACGAAGCATATTAGCATCTAATTTTCGTTGATAAAATAGAGGATTTATCACGAATATTTGTGACAACGTTTTTGTAACGTCATCGATTTTCGTGTTAGATTTGCGACTTTTTGTGCAGCGCCTTTACCGGCAATAAAGTATAATAATTATTCTAGAATATTCATGATAGACCCTCAGAAAACGTTTTTTGAACATCTTTAGGCAGTGGACTTTCGATCAATATTTTGTTAACAACAACTGCAACACTATGTTACGTCAAATCTTTATTTATTTTAAATATACCTTACATTTGTGTTTCAAATTGTTGAACATAAGAATTTATTAAAACGTGTTGAAGTAATTGTGAAAAACCAACTCTAATTAATAACAATATGCAAAAAAAGGGAAAAACAATTATATTAAAATTATGTCACTATGTTAATCGTATTGTAAACTTAAAGTATGCGAAATGAAGTCGTTTGGTGAGTACAAAAATATTTAAATACAATGTAAATATTATTTATATGATAAATTTGTATACGCTAAGTCACTAGTTACTTATTATGTAAAGAAATCATATGTAATTACCATAAACAATAAATAATGTATTGTAAATAGAATTTATAAAAATGTCTGGTCGTATATTAATCTATAAGGTAATTCAATATTTTTTTTTAAATACAGTACAAAAATATCCATCGGTGAGTATTTATATCAGATTCCATAGAATTAGATAAAGCTTTATAAATGCAAAATGCATTTAGAATGTAACTTCATTCTAACCTAATTAGTATTTATCGACGCTGACTAATAAAGTACATAACAAGCGTATATTGAAGACTAAGAACAATTACAATTATGACATTGTAATCACAAATGCATGTCATATTTCATTATATTTCTATGTGAAATTCATCAGAATATCTAATGCTAATTATAACATATATATGTATAAAGATAGTACATCTTTCATATATAAATTTAGTGGCAGTGCTTTAAAGCTTAAAGTTTCTATGGTTATGTTCTTTGAAGAAACAAACATGTATATACAGATATTTGTATAAAGTGTGACGTAATGCTAATATTGTCCGCTGATTGTAAACTATTCATAATGCTAATTGTAAAAAAAAAATCGAATGTGTTTTAACGCTTTCACGGCTCACAAAATTGATCATATTGAATACACATTGAGGTACGGAAGAGGTTATCTTAAATAATTTGATATTTTTTATTTACCAACAAAAGCTTTATGAAGTCGTGTGCAACAGCTAAAAAAATACAAGCCAAAAGCTGATGTTTTCTGTCGCCATTTTCAAATGTTGAATACAATTTAACTTAAAAGCTTGCTAGATAGATCGGTAGCTTTCACAGACATGTTAGACAAGCTACTTAAAGCTTTTAGTTCATATTTTAATATCCACGCCTCTTTCAATACACTAATCAAGATTACTTACATACCTTAAGTAATTTTATTGTAGAATGTTTCGATTAATTTGTTTATGTTTTTCAGGATAGTAACTATATGAAAGTATATTTGGCGAAAGGAACAGATAAAAATCTGTACCATATAGATCATGAAAAGTCTACAAAAAGTCGTCTTGAAGAAAGAAAAAGATTACGCAAACGTTTGTCGAAAGGTTTGTGTAATTTTTTATTTTTGTGTTGCGAAAGATTGATAAATTATTACTTTTTCTCCTGCAAAAAGTACAAAAAATCAATCTTTTAGTAACATTTATAACTTTTTAAAGTTAAATTCTTTTAGAATACACAATGTGTCTCGAAAATCCGTATTTGGGTACGCAAACTGATCTTTTTTTTCTATCGATCGTGGTATTAAAAACATATTGAATGCAAATTTCATGTATGTATAAAGTTATTTTCATCTTTACAGAAAAGGAGGGTAATGAAGAAAACAACGAAAAATTGAACAAACTTATAGAAGAACGGTATCAAAATCTGGAAATGGGAAGAAAAATTTTCGAAAATGCATATCAATTTTTCGAGAACAGCGAAAACGACGAAGAGAAGGAATTTGAACAGACGCAACAAGTGCCTGAAAAAGTATCCATGAAGAGAAGAAGAAGTAGTTCAAAAAGTTCTAAACGTTCTACGAAGGCAAAAGAAACATTTGCTGTTTCACAGAAAGAGCAGTGTGAACCAGAAGTAAGAGATGTTAATTATCAATTTCCGTTACAGACAGCTTTGTTTTGCAAATCGGAATATATCAATTAGATTTTTTTTGACATTTTAGAATAAAAGTGTGTAACTTATTGAAAGTCTTTCTATGATTTCCAAAAAGAAAACATACACATATGCTAGTGTAATTAACGTTTTTCAAACGACTTAAACATGATATAAATTATCGATTTATGTATTTACTTTTTTACAGCAAATAAAAATAGAAATAAACATGGACATGGTAGATCCGACAGACATTTATTTATCGTCATTGCCACAGTACGAGGAAATCAGGACCGAAGTTCTTGGTTTGTACATTAATTTAAATTAAAAATACAAAACTAATTAACGTCTATTAACTAAATAATCTGCAATAATCTAATTCCAGTGCCTAAATGCTGGATCGATGACGACGTCTCAACTCTTGAACATTCGGTAGAAAGTGACGATGACGCCACTTTTATTATAAGTCCTGTCAAAGATGAAATCCATGCAGGAGAGTCTTCAAACGACAGATCTGTTCCAGCAGATTCTCAAGAGAAGGTCAATGATGGTAGAATAACAAAGGATAAACAAACTGAAAACGGGAATGAGGTAAAAGTTCAAAACCGTCTTAAAATAAAGCGGATAACGTTAGTTCTTATCGTCCTCCTCATTTTTATTTGTTCTTATATACGAGTAGTATGCATTTCAATCATATTTTCTTACATTTCTTTAAATTGTTACAGAATTGTAATGGACCCCAATTTAATATCGTAAAAGCTACTATCACTGATTACGTAACCTCGATAAGAAAGAAATATGAAAAAGAACAAAGTACGAAGGAAAAGAACAGAAACTATCAAGCTTTAGAAGAAGGTTTGTTTTGTGTTTTTTTTAAATGACCTTTTAAATTGTATTTCATGTTAATGTTATTTTTTAGAAAGAATCCAGTGTCAAAGAAGAATAAACAGAGAACTGGAGTTCTTAAGAACACTTACAACAAAAAAGCATTCAAAATCGTCTTCCGAAAGTACAGACGATGATGGGTTCGAAAAAAGCACAAGTACCGTTACTGAAGTAAACGAAAGTGCCAAAAAAGGAAAACGTAATGAGACTAAACGGTCGTCATCTCCAATCCTCATATACCATTATTATACGCTCGATCCCAAACTAAAAGAGAAAATAACAATTGATGCCAATGCCAATTGTATTCCAAAACTAGAAGCTGATGTAAGTTATGAAAAAAATAATTTAAATTCCTCACTCTTGTTCATTCAGTATTATTCATCAAGGTAAAAAATATCTTTTTACATTGATAAAAACAGCTACAGCCTAATTGAAAAGTGAAAATGTCAATTGAGTCGTTTGGGCTAAAGATGACAATGGAATTGACATAAATGGAAACCCTCATTCATTGAAACGAGCTTAAATACACAGACACAATATATTTATACTAGCTTTCAGCCGTGATCCCATCCGCATGGAATTTAAAAAACACAACAAAAGCAACTAGCCTATGTGATCTTCCAGAGTATGCTCTACATCTATATCTAATTTCATCGAGATCCGTTTAGCGACTTAGGGATTTTAAACTTTTGCATTTATAATATTAACTAGCTTTCGCCCGCGACTCCGTTCGTGTGGAGTTCAAAAAGACAAAAGTTAGTAGCCTATGTGTTCTTCCAGACTATCCTCAACGTCTATGCCAAATTTTATCGAGATCCGTTCAGCCGTTTAGGCTACAAACTCTAACAAACATCCATCCATCCATCCATCTAAACTTTCGCATTTATAATATTTGTAAGAGTAAGATTACTAAGATAAGATAGAAAAAGGATAATAAAGAGTAATACCGAGGTTTAAATTGTAATTAATGAGATAAGAATTTCATTTCTTTTAAGAATCCATCAAATCTGACAACAAGACCTCGTAGGGGACCACAAACTCCACCCCCTCAAGACAGTTCAAGTGACGGCGAAATACACGACGATAGTTCTGAAGAATGGGAACATAATAAGGATCCCTTAGAATCTGTAGAACACATTAATCGAGTAGCTGTTTTAAAACAATCTAAACAGGAAGAAACAACACGCGATCCTAGACTAGACAGATCGAAGACGAGTAATGAAACATCGAAAATTCATTACGAAAAAATGACGATTACTAGGTCATTCGATAATCGGTCAACTAACAAATCCAAACTGTAAAAGAAGCATTTGATCTCACACAATTTATTTTTGTCAGAAAAATTCCTATGTTACCTCATAATGCAGTACAAAAAACTATTTTGTTTATGTTATCGTTCTAAATAAGTGAAGTTCAGTTAGCGTATGTAAATGCAGAGTTATCATAAGATACCAATAGACAGGACAATAAATATTGAACCGTATTCACACAAAGATGTACTACTGATACATTTACGTTTACGTAAGTATAAGACATTTTTGTGACAGCGATATCGACGATTACATGTGACTAGCTGTCCCCGTGCGGCTTCATCCGCATGAAATTATGAAAACATTATTTTATTGTTTACATATGTCAAATTGTCAATTGCAAATGTCAAAATTACCGTTACTATAATTCTTTCTTAACGTTGGCAGCTTATAGTTAATGGCCCCTTTCCCACATGAACTTTTTCTAATTTATTTACCCCCGAAGTTCAATAGCGCGAAAATTTATAGCCTATAGCGTGTCGTAAGTGTAGGGCTTTTTATTAAAGCAAGAATTATTAAAAAACATACTGTGATTGCTGACATCCTTCGCCACAAAGTAGTGTGTTTTTACGCTTTATTATATTAGTATAGAGTATAGATTATGATGAAATAACTTAAGACTCTGCTGGAAAACAATCCTCTACCGACTTCTGTGGCCAGTCTCGCGCCAGCCTTCGCCTTCTGTACAGATATATTTATTTGGAAAGAAAACAGTACATCACTAATTCTTCTATGTCCATTCCAAAAACATTTTATTTTGCACATTGTATATTAAAAATGACGTTTTCAGATCTCAAACAGACTCTTACGGGTTATATGTTGCCATATTTGAAGGGTAGTGCTCTATAATAAGTATTGTGTTTGAATCTCTCTGGTTAACGTTCTATCGGAACGTACTTATAACCGTGTAATTCTATTGTCGTCGCACTTGCATTGTTGTTGTCTCTATTTTTCTTAAAGAGAATGAGAGGGATCGCAATAAGTTTTTATGCAAGTGTATATTTTAGTGCAAGTCGACAGGCCAAACAACCATAACTGTAATATTATCGTTTGCGTTTTTAAATATTTTATGTATACGATCTATTGTATACAATTAGGTATAAGCAATGATATTATAATTTACGTTTTCTTTAATTCTAATTTAATTTAACTAGCTGTTACCGTGCGGCTTCGTCCGCATGAAATTTCTAAAACGTTCAATTGTCAATGTCAAAATTTAAATGCACAAATGACAACGAACGCCTTTAACATTACCATGGCAATCTTGCTTCTTTATTGGCTTGTAGTTTTTGTCCCTTTCGCGCATGGCGGTTTTTTCCAATTTATTTAGCCCTAAGTTTAGTAGCGTAAAAATATATAGCCTTAAGTGTAACTTAAGTGTAGGGCTTTTTATTGAAATAAGAATTGTTTAAAGTATACTGTGATTGCTGGCATTCTACACATCTCAGAAGTGTGTGTTTACTTTATTACATTAGTATAGATATAGATGAAAAAAAGACCCTTTTTGAGGAAATTCTACGAACGAGTCACGCATTTAGTATTGAGAAGAAGCGTGCGTTACTTTTAATAATAAATACCCTATTTGAATATGAATTTTGGTCGAATTTTGGCCAATAGGCGACTACTAGTTCATTTCTATTTATATTGAAGATCCTGTTCTGTTGATTGGTGTAATCCTTACTATGTTAGAAATATAGTAAATTTTGATCCGTATTAGAAAAATGTTTACAATTTTTTCCGCAATTTGAAAAAAATTACGCTCAAAACGTTCTTAGGGTATTATATGTGTAGTCTCGAGGAGAAAATGATTTTAAATCTATCGTTAAACCCATTAGGTTTATTTGTTTATTGTCAATTTGTACTTAATTCTTCACAGGGATATTGTTCTAGAATTCTTTAGGATACAAAGATTTTGAATCTTAATATTGTATTTGGCGTAATCCAATTGCAAATAAAAAATATGTTGAACAAAATTTTGTTCATACCATATTATGTAAATTTAATTAAACACAATAAGTGTGAGCTTGTAGTTTATATCTGTTATTGTTCCGTCTATTTACATGCTAAATATAAAGTAGTGTAAAAGCAAACATTAAAAATATCTACTTCATTACAGTACAGTCGCGGAAATTCGCAGTGTTCCACTTTGGGAAAAATTGTCTTGTTCATTGCAATGAGACAAACTCCGCCTCTTCCTACAAAAAACTAATTAGATAGCATTGAGAGGTGCAAACTAAGGGATTTTAATATAAACTAGCCATGTAAAATTTTTTCGTACAGACACGTCTAAAAGCTGCGTATAATTGATGTTCTGCGTCCTTTTTCAAAATGTTCAAATGATTATAGTTTTTTATTTGGATCACCGCCAGCTTTCCCGATTGTACATGTTTTAAATTTGTATGTGCTTAACTGTGTAAAATCTCAAATCTCTGTATGTCTATAATATTATGGAATAGTTAGTAAGAATAGCTTTATTCCTTTCAATTAGTGTATGTTCTCAAGTTTTGTTCCTAACTGATAATATTGTCTGGTATATGTTAATTGTTACACTTCGTATTTGTACAAATTTATTTCGTTGATGTCAAAACATTATTTACGAATTATTTTGATATTGTAATAAAACGACGTTTCTCATATTTTCCACTATTTTTATGACTAAAATTTTTATTTTGAAATGTATACAGTGTACAGTAATTACAACAAAATAAAGTCTTCTTTTTAACTGTTTTTTTCCGAATATAAAATTTTACCTTCACCAAATCTTCTGTGTACAAATGGAGACGAAATTATACTGAAAAGTAAGAAAAGAGGTATTATATATTATAAATTAAAAACGTTTGATTATAAACTTTTATTAAAAAATATTTACATTCTCTACTCTAATATCACAAGATTTATAAAACGAACACCTTAATATAATAAAAAAGAGAGATCATTTTCAACACTTGATAATAATTTGTGCACTGTGAATAAAATTGATATAGTAATACGTTAAATTGCAAATTACACAAAAAAATGTGACATTTAAATCTCCAAATTTAAAAATATTACAACAATTATTGCTGATAAAAGAGTTTGCATGTTTAACGATAAACGCGTAGCTAAATTCCCACCACCTTCAGTAGGCTTGACTTCAGCTTTGTCAGGCTCCACTGTAGTCGTGTCTTGCCCGTGCGTACTTGAATCTGTTATTTCCATTTTCATGGACTCAGTAGTCTTGGTACTTGTAACAGATGGACTAACATTTTGTTGTAATGCCTCAGCCGTTGGTAATTGCTCATTAGATTTCATGTTAGTTTTATTAATTAAATTTTCTTTGATATCATATTTCATTGCCATTGTTGAAATAGGCGTTGTGCTTTCGGTTTCTTTTTGGGACGCAATTTCAGCAACAGAATCTGTAGTACCTAGATCTACAATATCGATTTTCTTGTTGTCATTATGTGTTGTTAAATATGTAGTACCAAGATTTGGTACATTAGTTACTTTGTTGTCAATTTGAGTTGTTTCTACGATGTTAGGATTTTCAGAACTTTCTTGCTGGTCATTTTCAGAAGATATTGGATGTTCTGAACTATCGTTTTCTATATCAGAGTTTTCTGTACCAGGGTTTTCTGTACTAGGGTTTTCTGTAAGTTCTTGACTGAGCTGATTGGTGCTGTCAATGATGACTTTCTTAGAATGTTCAAGCCTTGATTTCGCAGTTACAACTATCATTTGGTCGTCTTTATTTATTTCATTAATTTCCTCGTTTGTTTGATTTGGTTCTGTTATGTTTGTTATTATAATTGTGCGTAATGACGAAGAAGAAGCAGGAAACGTTATTTGCCTCTTTTTGATTCGGTTGTTATGTGATTTTGCTACAAGTTTGGCTAAGACAGCGAAAGCTTCTTTCTCTCGTTCAGTGTTATTGCCATTACACAAGTCATCACGGCAGGGGCATGTCATTTTCCATGTCCTTGTGGAATTACAAAATAAGGGGTAGCATTCGTCTTGATATAATTTTACGCATAATCTGGACTCGACGTGAGCTGAAAAGATAAATGTTTGGTTATTACTTGGTTACAGTCAATGTTTATAGAGCAATGTGGCAAACGAGCCAGCCGCCATTCAAAATTGCTAAACTAGTGAAGAATGTGGACATTTATAATAAGTTGGCAGTTGCAGATGCAGTCTATCTTTAAAGGACAAAGAAGAGGATGCACAGAAAATGGACATTAATAAGTCCATAACAAAGTTTAAATAACATCTATACTCGGATGCAATTTGGAATTTAAATTATTGAACGATAGATAAAGTGTCTTTTTTTATTGATAAAATTATTTTTTATTATAAAAAGGTGGAATGGACTAAGTTAGATAGACTAGTTGACAACATACGTGGTGAAGTGGCAACAATAGCGCAGTATGCAAGTCCCGGTTCACAAGTGGTCATGTGGTTGGTGGGGAGGTCGCAGGGCGGCGCACGCCGGCTTCGGTGCACCTGCTCCGCCAGGGGACCGCACCAGTAGCACTGACGTTCAGCTAATACCACACCTGGACAACCAAAAGGACTAGTTAAATAAAGTTTTTCTTGCACACCGTACAGAAAACACAGAAATGTAATGTCAAAAATCTTGTTGAGAGGACGTAATTTGTACCATGTTATTTGTACTTTATAAAGTAGTAAAAGAAGAACATGGAAGTATTACAAATTTGTAGTACTATTATAAATATTATAAATGCGAAAGTTTAGATGGATGGATATAAGTTTGGTAGGAGGAATTTTCAGAACTTTGGCACAGATATAGAAGATTGTTAAAATAAGAAATTTATGGGCTTGTCCCACCACTTGCTGATAGAGCTAAGATAGCTTAAAAGTAACGTTACTGTCAGAGTATCAAATTCCGATACATCCATTACATGTTTTATATGTTGGATTGTTATCTCACAATTTACAAGAATTGTGGGACAGACCCGAAATGTTGAGTTGGAAACAATAAGTACCATATATTAAATGCTTCACTAATGTAAAACATTGATCGATTTATGTTGAAAACTTACGTTTTTTATTTTGCGTCGGTGTTGTATTATTACGACTCTACATCGTTTTTAATAAAAAACATAAAATCTTTGAAATAAAGGCTACATTTTTTAATTTGTAAAAATGCGAAATTACTACCCGCAACTATTTTTTCCGTGCTGATAATTGACTAGTGTTTAGTCCTAAAATTAAATACCCCCTTTCATCTACCATCTGCCAACTAAAACGCAGTTGATAGAACTCTGTCAGATTTCAATTTAATATTAGTTTAATATAAAAGAAATGACGCGGTGACTATATGAACATCAAAATGTAATCAAGTCTAGCAAGCGTTGAGACTTTATTTATTAAATTTTCTAAGTTCATCAAACTCTAGTCCTCGAATGGTTGCTTATATGCTAGCTAAAGGTTTGCGAAAGATTATTAAACTTCAGCAGAGTTCAATATGAAAA